TAACCTGCCAGATGCCTGCTGGAAATTCAACACAGCAGAGAACAGGCAGTCTAGGGGGTTCCTTGAGTGCATAGAGGATAATTTTCTACTTCAGCTGATAGATGAGACTATCAGGGGTGAGGCCTTGCTAGACCTGCTGTTCACAAACAGAGAAGGACTGGTGGGAGATGTGGTTGGAGGCCATTTAGGGCACAGTGACCATGAAATTGTAGAGTTTTCGATACTCAAAGATACAAGAAGGGCCATCAATAAAATTTCTACCCTGGACTTCTGAAGAGCAGACTTTGGCCTGCTCAAACATTGAGCTGCATCCGGTGTAACATTTTGGGTGCAGGTGGAGACAAGGTCTTGGTTCTAAAGCTGGTAACTGTACATATATTCTTAGCCTGCCATGAATGCACAGTACCTCCATGAAACAGACTGTTTCCTGCTTTGTTTACCCTCATGATAATGCACTAGCATCATACAGAGAAGTCTTCCCACCAATTTCACTACCAAGTAGTTCTTCACAGGTGAAAGTCAAAGACTTAAGTAATAAGGATAAATCTAAGAAAATATTTCAGAATTCCATAATACATTATCTTTCTTTTAATTTTATCTAATTGATTTGAACACCATGATCCATCATGGTCTATCAGTCATAAATTACCTTCCGTTCTACAGCTGTCATATGATTTGTGTTCCAAAGCACCAGATGCAAATTGTGATATGTGGTGTTAAGATGATCAGAGTCAAAAGGATACCAGTTGAATACTTGTAGTGGCTTATTACTTTTGCATTTACTTGTATTTCTTGTGTTTTCTTTTTCATGTTGGTTGATTGTCCATATTTCCTGTCAAACTGGCTGATTTTGCTTTGAGATTCCATTTCAGAGCTAGTTTTGTCTTCTCCATCCCTCAGACTCTCCCCTCCTCATTCATCATCCCATTTGCAGTGTCTTTAGTGTAGCCCATCAAAGGTAGGCATTGTCAAAAAGCTATTTCATCTAAGCTGTAGTGCCTAATTAAAGAGATGGTTGCTAAGAGATTGTGGAAAGCATCATTAAGAGGATCTAATTTGCTTTTTTTCTTACTTTCCATGCACAGATTTCAGATCAGAATTTACAAGTAAATGGAATAGCATCATCCTACAATATTCCTAGGCTGACTTTGTGACAATGGAGAGAATACAAGGAGACTGTGCCAGTCCTGTGCCACCAGGAGATGCAGAGAGGAGCAGGACTGGAGAGCAAGACCCAGAACTAAGTATGTTGGCAAAAGCACAAGAGTTCTTTCAGATTTGTGATCTGGAGGGCAAAGGCTTCATTACTCGTCAAGACATGCAGGTAAAACAAAATTGGTTATGTAAAATGCACAATGAGAGAAGCTCCTAATGCCCTTAATGAGTTGAGACTGATTAATTTAGAGTTCAAAATGTTAACACCCTCCTCATAGCTTTAAAGAGATATGTAGGATTTCAACTAGTGTCTTTGAAGTCGTACATAATGTTTGCATTTTTTTACAGACAAAGCAGCAAAAAAAGTGGAAAATCAAAGTAAATGGAGTTTAAAAAAAAGCCGTAGGAATTTTATTCCATTCTTGTTGAGAAAGTTGAAACACCAGTAAATTCATTACTTTATTTGCCACAGTGTCATGAATGTATTTGGTCCACCAATCTTATCCTTCTGGGTTTTTTTAGCAAAATTGTGTAAATTTTACTTTGGTTTCATTCCCAGACAATGGTGAGCTCTCAGCTGTAACATATATATTTATATAGGAAGTATAGAGGAACAGTATTTTAGCATTATTCAGTGTTTGCAGTAATCTTACCAAATTGTATTTAATTTTTCTGAGGGCCCAAAATCAGATTTGCCTAAAATGTTGATTGAAAAAAAGCTATGTAACAATATCTTTTGAAAATGTGATCGAGTGCAACGTGTAGAACTGATGACTATAACCAGTATGTGGCAGAAAACAAGAATATACTCATGCTTGACATGCAAAACATACTTTAATTGTGTTAATCCATTTCTATTTCGGTAATTATGGATGAAGTAGAATTGGGAAGCGATAGCAAAATAAATTGATCACAAACTGCTACCAAAGAAAGCATCTGATATAAAATTTAGGAATTGGAAATAAAGACAAATCTGTATATAAAAGAATACAATGGAGACAATTTTAGTTACCTATGTTGGAAAAGCAAAAACCTCCTAAGGATATTGCCTAATTTACTAGCTCTCAAGAGCTCTGCTTTCTGTGCAGTTGTGTGTTGCTGAGTTTTCTGATGACCTGTGCTAATTATGCAAAGTTGAAAAAAGAGAGGAGTGCAGATGTTTGCTGTGCTCTAGGCTTTATCAACATACATTATCTCGTTGAAGTAATTGAATGTAAACAAGCGAATATACTGCCAGTGGTAACTTTTGGTGAATCCAGACCCACAGAAAATTTAATGAATTCTAATTTTATTGTCTTTCCAAAAACTGAAGGGCATACATTTTACCTAATGGAAAACCCATATATGTAGATATGTATCTGAAAAGTTTTAATGCCTGTTTTTTCAAGGAATGTAAAAATATTTGTTTCTGTTTGATTCTGGGTTTTATGCTTAGAGTGCTGACAAATTTATAGTTCAGATTCTGAAACAGGTGTTGCAAAAGTTGCAGTAGAAAAAGAGTTGCAAAGAATAGATAAAGTACATTTCCGTTTTCATCATGAGTATTTGTTTACTATATCTGACAACTTCAGTGTGCATGTAAGCTCATTTAAATACAGAAATAAAGAGCTCAGGACAACTTGAGATGACATTTCTTTAGGACTTGCTTTCATTTTCTGCACTTTTCATGATGTTTACTCCCTATAGCAAAGACAAAAATCAATGAAGTAAATCAGCTTTTTTCTTAAAAGGTACTAAGTGTTGATCACTTTTGCATACTGCTGTTTATTAGTTCTGTACTGTTTGCCGTTAATGAAGTTTTGCTTCAAATATAGGATGCTAATGGTAAGCTTTTTAATCTTTGCTCATGTGATACAAGGCATGATTTTCAACACAGAGTGCTGAGTATCTGAAATCCAATTAATATCAATAGAATAAATTTTGCAAAGTTTTCTGGTTTGTCTGTAATACAGTAATTATATTAAAGAGTTCCTCTTCCTTGATTATAACATGCTTTTTATTGTGAGACTGTTAATACTGTTGTGTTTTTTTTAAATTTTTCTTTCTATTTCAAAGTATCAAATATGCTCAACTTTCAAACAAATGAGGTTTTTCATATTTTTCCCCAAGAAAATGCAAGCAGTTGTGGTGTTTTCTACTGTAAAAATCAGAATTTGGAATTAGCATTAGGGCACTCCAGCTGTAGTAGGAATAGCATATGTTTGTCAGTCAGGTTTGCAGCAAGACCTGCAAGCCATTGTACTGGAACAGCAGGTGGGTCTGTGTTTATGGCAGCAGTCATGTCCCAAGAAGTGCTCCTTCAGCAGGTCCCAAAGATCTGGCAGTAGGAGTACAATTTCTATTTTTCCTAAATGTTAGAAGAGTAATTCGTCTGGAGCACCCCCTTCCTCCTTGGTGCAGACTGTAAGAATTTTACAGGAGAACCTCATTTAAAAAGTTTGCCTTTCGATCTAAGAGATTAAAATCCAAAGCTTTGGGAAGACAGATGTGTTTAAGTGAGAAACTGATAATGACAGGTGTATCATGGTGAAGTAACTTATTTAAACTGCATATACATCAAGTTTTCTTTTTTTTTTTTTTTTTTTGGGGGGGGTGGTGGGCAAGCAGACAGAAATACACAACTAAACCTGCTCAGAAATCCCTTTGTGACTGTTGCAGATAGTTCTGTGCTTTACAAGTAATGTTGCTTTCACATCTCAAGATTGCCTTGAGATTCCTTTTACTGCTCTTCCATTCAGCTCATACAGTTCATGATGTATACACTAAACCCGTGGTTGCAGCCAAGGAAGTCGCAGTTAATGCATTCAGCCAATTCTTATTTTGCCTATAAGGCTTAGTATATTGAATACTGGTTTCTGTTGTTCATGGATTGCAGAAGTAATGTTGCTTTCACATCTCAAGATTGCCTTGAGATTCCTTTTACTGCTCTTCCATTCAGCTCATACAGTTCATGATGTATACACTAAACCCGTGGTTGCAGCCAAGGAAGTCGCAGTTAATGCATTCAGCCAATTCTTATTTTGCCTATAAGGCTTAGTATATTGAATACTGGTTTCTGTTGTTCATGGATTGCAGAAGAAAGTTGGCCCTAAATTTTTTTTAACAGATTAGCACTTTTGATATTGTGAATTTTATCAACCTATTAGCTTGCAATTTTAATATATTGTATATAAAACAGCAATTCAGGGAGGGGATTAAAATGTTAACTAATAAAGCAGAGGACTTCACCACATATTTCTTCTCAAGCTGAGGAAATGTTTTAATCTTCCTTAGTGCTGTCTCACAAGGGAAATCCTTGCTATTGTACTTATGTGCCTTTTCAATTTCCTCCTGTTTCTGGAAATCTGTCTACACTGTTAAACCATTAGGATCACTTTTAAAGATTTTTTTCTTTTATGCCTGTCTTTAGATTATCAGAAAAAAAATAACTGATTTTTGTGGGGCTGGTTTAATGAAATTATGTCCTTTTTAGTGTGCGCATGCTGCATTTCAGAAGTAGACAGTCATGAACTGCATTTAACTTGTTACAGAAGCAACAACTTTGGTCCTTGGACCATGCAGCTTTCTTAGCTTTGTTTATTTATTTATTTATCTACATATTTTGAAGCAGCTTTAATTAGGACAGTATATCCTCTATAGTGTAGTAATTTAGAGGGTTTCTTGCTTGACCTCATGACATGGAAGAAACTAGGCATACAGTTCTGTTGCCAGGTTTGTCCAGTAGCCTGATAATCAAGGCCTTTCACCAAAATAATCAAGCCATTTCACCAGGATACTAAGACTCCGCCTCAAGTTCTTCCTCTTCCCTGTGTGATTGGAATTTGTGCCACAAGGAGTTTGATCTCACTGCTTTGTGTAATAGATTCATAAAGGCAAGTAGAGAAGTCATTAAAACAAATGTCCTTCAAGTTGATCTTGTTTTACTTTGTAATGTATTTGGATTTTCACTCTGGGCATCAAAAGGACCTATCCTTCTGTATTATGGATGTTCTGTAAAGTCAAGTCTTCTTCTTATCCTGTAGTAATGGATAAAGTTGCTGCATATTTTATCATTCCAGAGACTGCATCCTGAGTTACCTCTTAGCCTGGAAGAGCTTGAAAAAGTTTTTGTTACATTGGATGCTGATGGCAATGGCTCACTTACCCCAAAGGAGTTCATCACAGGATTCAGTGAGTTTTGGAAAGCATGTCTCCTGTACTGAGCTTTATTCATGTTCTGTACTCTCCACATCAATATAGAAGCATTTTGTCCTAACAGGACACTTAATAGCCACGCAGGAAGTCAGATTATTCTCTAGGCAAAGCAGATATATGTAGCAGATGAAGAAGTGGTCAAATTGTGATAATGGCACAAGAGCTCCAGGGTCTCTCTCTCCTGTGTAAGATGGCAAGGCATGAGGCATGTGATGTAATAATATGAATTGCACCTGTTTTAAGCTGTGAAGTAAATCTATGTACAGGTTTTTTTAAGGCTTCCCTTGCAGGGGTAAATGTTGTGTTTTTATTCATATCAGTTCATAAGACTGGAAAGATAATTAAGATCATCTCTAAGATTAATATAAGACAATGTTGAAAATGTGTTAATACCCCTGTCCTTATAGCTGTGAGAATGCTTCCTACAACAAATCAATACTTCAAGTGATGTTAATTTATTTCAAAATAAAGCATGATGAGGCAATTATCATTACTGTGTGATGGTAGCTGGTAAGTTCTTTGTAACTGCCTGTTTCGCAGCAGCAGTCATACTGTCATGGTCTCTGTGTTTGCCACAGAGTTGTTGTCTCCCCAGCTGTGACATTCCAGATAAGATGACAATGTTAGTTAGATTGTGTTCACAGAAGCAATTTTGTACTTAAATTTTAGCTCTGCTGACTACACAGCACTCACAGACATTTTTCAGGCTAGGTAGTCCTACATTTGGCTAGGTAGATGATGTTGACATTCCTAGTAGAAGCAGAAGCTGCACAAAATAAAGGTTGCTTTAGGAAACTAGTGAATGGAGAGAGTAGAGTAGTGTTGGGATAAAACTTGTAGCTTCTCTCTTTGCAACATATTCTTGTCTCTGTTGTCAATGTGCTGTGCTGGGTGCTATGAGAAAAAAAAGGCAAGATGGAGTTAATAAAACCATAAAACTACACCAGTATTTCTGTTTCCTTGGGTCTGTGGTAACTTCTCTACTCAAATTTACAATATTAAAAAAAGTCCTCTGCATAAAATCGCAATAGTCACAATCCTCTTGCCATTCCTCTTCCTTCTTTTGTTTCATTATACTCACTTTTCTTGTATACAGGTGTAGGTGTTTCCCTCAGATTATATTTACTGTAAAATTTGATCTTTAGTATGGTGCTCTATGGCATTGCTACTTACAGTAAGTTCTGGAAATGCTAACGTGTGTAATTTCTAATTCTTAGGCCAGTTTCTTTTGGGGCAGATGGCTTTGAAAAACGACATGATGCAGCAATCAGAAGGTGAAACAGCCTGTTCACTTACATATGAAGAGACCATGAGTGATGATGAGGATGAAGAATTCCAGTTCTCAAATCTGATGGATCGGCTTGGAGCTAAAAGTGTTTCGGTTGAGTGAGTCTTTGCAGCAATAGCAATCAGTTGTATGATCTTTTACGTTTCATCTGTGGGTTTGATTTTAATGGAATCCAAGGTAAATGGCAAGAACCAAGGCTGCTCAGTAACAGAGGCATTTTTAAAAAAATTAATTCTTTTGATTGTCGGATAAAATTCCATTCAACCAAAATTTGAGAGCAAAACTGTTGTAGTCCAGGCAAGTGAATGTCTTTTTCTGCCATATTAAAGCTATACCACTTGATGTGCCATGGGGTTTGAACATAAATAATAACAAGCATGTATTCTACAGATGCCACTGATTTTTCAATCAGACAATGCATGATGACTGCTTATTTTGTCAAGTGCTGGGTTTAAAGTGCACCAGTTAATTATAAGAAAGGAAGTTTTCTCCCCTTTTTCTGCTTTTTCTCCTCTTCATGCAAAACTGCATGTTGTGATTGCTGTGATAATGCTACCTCTTCCAGGTCCAGGATGGTTCTCTCTGAAACATGTAACATAAAACCTGCTCTAAGAGCTTCTTGTGTGTTGGCCTGACATTCATTGGTCAATCATGATGAATGTTCTAGAACAGAAAAAAAGCATGGGGCAAAAATGGGAGAGAATCTGGACAGATGGTATGAATATTTAAGAAATACATCAGTGATTCTTACCCTGAAATAAAAGTGCTCATCAGTGCTTCTCTTCACCTGACTGCCTGTAACGGGAAACAGTTGGTTGTCAGTCATCCTGAAAGGCTTTCATTATGAAGAGATTTTTATCACCCACTTTTTCTATCCTTATCCTCAATTTGTCCTTTAAATATAGCATTCTTTGCTGGCTAGGTTCAGGCTTACAGTGCACATGGTAGAGAGTGAGTCAGGAAGTAGCAAACAAAAAAAGTTGTTCAGGAGAATTTTGGCAAAGTATTAGAAAACCCGTTATCATTCACAGCAGAGCATCTTTTTTTCCAGTATCTGCCAAACAGATTTGGAAACAAAGCATTATCTTGGTGAGTCTTTAAATCAAAATTTCAAGGAGCTTTGTTCTGATTTTTTGCAGCAGGCTCACTGTGGAATCAAAATGTGTTCAATATCAAAGAATGCAGTAGAAACACAATTTGTTTACATATCTAAGTAACTGAGGAGACTGAATCTCATTCATTTCTTACGAGGAAGGGATGTTGATTAGCTTTCCCACTGCCCCTTCCCTGTAGATTTGTGGTAACTTCTTTACTTTGAATAGAAGTCATGGGATGGTACATTGTATCTCACCTTCTGTGTCCCCTTTCCTGTCCATTCTTGTTTAGATAAAGTGTCTGGCAAGGCAGCCATTAAACAAGCAGTTTCTGTGGTACTCTGCAGCCAGGCATGGCCAGATGTTACAGTGCATTTTTTTTAATAAATGCAATTTCCATCATTTTACACCCACCTCATCTTTTTCAAATCTGGCACTGTTTAAGTAGCCCTTGTTTTTAATATGTTTTGTGTTCTGACTCGTGATGCCCTAAAGCCTCCATTTACTAGGATGCTGTGAGCATTTATTGCAGCCTGAGAAATGTTCTCTCTTAATGAATCCTTTATGATCCTTTCTTTCAGTGAGAGTGAAGTCAAACAACTCTGGCTGCAGCTAAGAAAAGATGAACCTCATTTACTTTCCAATTTCGAAGAGTTCCTTGTCAGAATTTTTTCCCAGCTCCAAGAAGCAGATAATGAGAAGAAGGAGTTGGAATGTGCTCTAAAAAAGTTAGTACTCCTCTTTTTTGGACTGCTTGTGTAGTTTTACAACTTTCTTACCTACTCTTTCTTACCATCTTTCTTACCTCAACATAAGAAGGACATGGAACTGTTGGAGCAAGTCCGTAGGAGGCCACAAAGTTTAAGAGGATTGGAGCACCTCTCCTGTGAAGACAGGCTGAGGAAGTTGGGGCTGTTCAGCCTGTAGAAGAGAAGGTTGCATGGAGACCTCACAGTAGCCTATCAGTATCTGAAGGGGCCTACAGGGGAGCTGGAGAGAGACTGCAGTGATAGGACAAGGGGTAATGGGTTCAAATTGAAGGAGGGGAAGTTTAGGTTAGATATTAGGAAATAGCATTTTACTGAGGGTGGTGAGACCCTGGCACAGGTTGCCCAGGGAGGGAGTGGATGTCTCAACCCTGGCAGTGTTCAAAGCCAGGCTGGATGAGGCCTTGAAGAACCTGATCTAGTGAGGAGGTGTCTGTCCCTGCCCATGGCAGGGAGTTGGGACTAGATGATCCATTCCAAAGGTCCATTCCAACCCCTAAAATTCTGTGATTCTGTGATGATTCTATGACATTTGAGCTTCTGAAATAAACAAGATATTTCAGTGGAGAACTGAGGACAAGAGTTCTCATAATGTAAAATTTCAGTAGCCATGACGAGTACCAGTAAATTACTCATATTGCAGAACTGAATGAAATTAGCTCTTCTCTTCAACTTAACAGACTTTATTGACTGAAATTCTTTTGCAGATGTCTATTATTGCATTGAGGTTTTAGACAATATTAAGGGATTTCAATCTAGTTAATCAGTTTGATTCCAGAGGACAGTCAGATTTACTAGTAAATCCGGTAAATTGTCTGTGTGCTTTGCAAACATTGCGTGCAGAAAAGCTATAAATCTGGATTAACTGGCCAGAGACATAAGAGGTTTAAGCTGTTAAATCAGCACAAACCATTGATATTAGTGAAAATGTGAGGTAGCAACTTACATGTATAAAGCAAGCATATGAAACGTAGTAAATCTATATATATTTGTATGTGTATGTTTTATATATAAAAACATATACAATGTATATATTTAAAAAACATAAATGCTTTCTAGAGGGAAAAAATTGTTATGCTAAATATAACAGAATGCAAAATGATGGTTATAGTTCAAGTTCCACTGTATTTTTATTATAAAGTGTCGCTTCTGAATTACAGATTCTTACAGACTGAGTGATGAAGGCAAATATATTGTTGAACATCTACTTCATTTGTTCAGCATTCTCCTTGGTATTCTGAGAATGTGACAAAGCTTCTGAACAAGCCAAAAACCTAAAAATGTGCAGTCTTTAAAGACAATTGGTTTATATTAGTAGCAGCATTTTCATCTAAGTCTCTAAGTGTGATTTCAGCCTTCAGGCAGCAAGTCAGTTGGAAACAGCAGAGTTGTGCTGTCTATTTTAGACTATAGATTAATAACAACCATCTATGGTGAGGGACTTGGTTTGTGGTTTTGTTTAGGGTTTTTTGTTATATCTTGTGAATGACTAAGTTTGTCTGTTTAATAGCTGTGGTCAGCTCAGAGGTGCACAGAGAATACATTAGCATTATCTTTTTGGCTGACATGAAATCTCTACCTTAAAAATGCATTGGATTTTTATGCCTTTGTAGTAAAACCAGGTTTTAGCTAATTTCTTCTTTCTGTTGCTCCTGATCACACTTCTGATTTCAGAACAGAGATTGTTGTCTTGTTTGTAATCCATAGCTGGAAGGAGTCAGAGTAGTAATATTGTCTTTGGCTACACTTGGGATTAATAGCTTCTTTTATTTTAGTCTGTAGAAGTCATAGCAAAGCTCAAGACATGACCACATAGAGGAGGGGAAATAAATTTTTTTTTTTAATACCCACATACTTATTAGCACTAAGATGCATGTATCTGTGTAGACTGGCCAGGATTTACTGTGGGATCACAGAAGATAAGGGCTGCTGGTTATTGAGGTCTTATAATGTCTCCTAGATTGTTTTTGATTGGTGACAATAATACACTTTGGAAATTGAATATGAATGTAATCTTTCTTCTTTCCTTCCTGACTCACCTCTGTGAGTCATTAGGCAATAAGGAACTCTACTCTCAGCCTTTTGTCTCCCTTCCTGGATGTAGGCTGTGCTTTTGTCTTTTATTTTTTTCTGTCCTGAATGCCCTGAGAAGCTTCATACCTGTGTGCTGCATTCTCTATGTGTGACAATCAGTGGTGTCAACCCATGCTGTTGTCCTATACCTGTTTTTTGTCTTTTCTTCTGGAGCATGTTTTCATTTCTGACCCAGACTCCTGTGGTCTAACAGATGCAGGGGTTTTCTCCTGTTCTAGTTTGATAAATACAGCTGCTGCTCTTCCTTTTTGTAGGTCCAGACGGTAGTGAGGTGGAACATATATTCTCAATTCACAAACATGCAAATATACCACACACAGGGGACTGTCCAGGCTGATACTGATGTAGCTGTCTAGACAGAAAAAAATGGTGATGCTAAGTCTAAAAAGAATGCAAAATGATGGTTATATTTGAAATTCCTCTGTATCTTTATAATAAAGTGTCACTTCTGAATTTCAGATTCTTATAGAATGAGTAATAAAGGCAAATATGTTGTTGAACATTTACTTCATTTGTACTCTGGCTATTATGAGAATGTGACATGGCAGAAGCAGTGGCACCCACCTCAACACAGGCAGCATTCACACAGACATGAAGGATGAGAGCCTGATCCAGTTTCTATCATCCAGTTTATCAGGATTGAATTATATTAGCGAAAACATGCACACAGCTCCCCCACCTTAGTTTGTTCAGAAACAAACCTGCATGAACAGATCCTTTGAATATTAGTGTGGACTTTAGTCTACCTAATGTGCCTGCCTGCACCCTGCACCCCTTACCCATCCTTTGACTCAGGCATTGGGTCTTTCCAGATGTGGACCTCCTACTCACTGGCTGGTTCAGCTGGATTGAGGTTTGCCTATAGAATCTCTTTATTTACCCACTCATTAACAATCACAGATCCTTCAGATATTAGCATAAGGATTTTTAAGTCCATCTAATGCCTGTGCCCAGGTACCCTAGTGCCCCAAGGTCATCAGCTCAGACCTTGAGTTTTTCCAGATGGAGGTCTCATCCTCCTTGGTGGCTAGTTCACTTTGAAGTATGCTAATAAACAGTATCCCTACAGAATAAGACATTGAATTCACACAGTTAAAAATAGGATGTAATAAGAAGACAGCATAGTCTGTCAGAATCGGACACAGGGCCTGACCAGACAAATATACCAAGCATCAGATTCCTTAGACTTGACTAAGCCTCTTATCCCCCCTTCACATCCCATTTTGGTCCCTTTCCCATCCTTGTCTCCTCATGAATAAAAGTTGACCCCTGAATACTTTTTTTGACATTAGTCTCAGTTTTTCTACATCTGTATGCAAATTTCATATTTCTAACCTTCATGCCCATGTAATCTTGCTCTTACATGGTGTTACTGATGCTGTTTTCCTTGGCAAGATTCTTTTGCTCTAAAGCTGCCAAATACTCTCCTTCAGATAACTATAGAGTTGACTGTTCACTGCATAATTCCTCCTAGAACAGCTGTGAAAGCCATTCATCAGGTGCTATCTGTAACAGTTGCCAGTTTCTCACTGTTATTTGTTATGTTCAGCAATATCTTATGTATTGTTCCGTAGTTTCTTATGCTCTGTTCAGTTAGTTAATCCTCAGACTAAGGCCTGGTGATCTCAACACTTTCTCTATACCTGTGTTAACATGTCTTTTACAAACCCATTCCTACAGAGCCCAGTAAACTTACAAATAAGTTTGTAATACTTATGTATAACATGCAGCATGATCCTACATAGAGGTAATTTGTGATTCTTTGTTGGGTGTTGCTTAGAGGCATAGGGTTGATCTCCCTGTGAATTTTCATTTATATATTTTTGTTTATATATGTGTGTGTGTGTATATATATATTGTCAGTTCAGGGTGCAGTGGCAGCCAAAAAACCCCAGTAAACTTCTGTGCATTATCAGAGAGGGCATTGAGAGCATGAAAAAACATGGTTTGCCACTGTGTGTAACCTTGGTGAGCCCATATCCTGAGTACTGAGTGAAATTCTGGACTCTGAAACACAAAGAGAATGTAGTGGGATATAGAAAAGTACAGAGAATGGCAGCTCTGTGGTTAAAGGAATGGAACAGCTATTCTGAGAGTGCTATTTTTAAAAGGTTGCCTCTCTTAAATGTGGAGGTAAAGGCTGGAGTGGGATATGACAGTCCTTGTTATTCTTCAAATCCCTGGCAGTAGAACCAAGAGGCATTTAATAAGATTAATGGGAAGCAAGCTTAAAAGAGATGAGAAAGTCCTTTTTCTTCTAATAGCAGATAAAATCTTCAACTGCCATTAGCTGTCTGCTGCTGTGCCTTGCATCTGAAGGAAAAACCTAGTAAAAAATGTGGACTGTGTTTCAAGCAAGAGTTAGTTCTAAACATAGAGGATAAACAAAGGGATAAAGGAGAAGGGAAGGATGAACTCGCTTCTCATTGGACTTAGCATAGGACAGTGTCAGAGACCATTTTTGGTGAAGGAAGAGGAGAATCAGTATCTCAAAAGATTAGTGCACAGTGTGCACAAATCCCTGTGTTTTTTTTAAGGAGAAAGAATCATTACACCAAACTGCATGAACAGCAATTGTGAAACCCAAACATGCAACTACATGAATGGGCAGAAATTAAAGCCCTGTGAGTGTGCTGATCCTGAATTTATAATCTGAACTTAGTGAACTCCTGTTACATTTCATCTCCTTTTGTCTCCAACTCTGTTTATTCCACAGCATCATTGAAAAGAGAAAGATCATGCTATCAAATATTGCTGAAATTATGTAATTATGCATATTGCGTGGTATGTTAAAACTGGATGGTATGATTCCAGGAAATAGAGATTGTAATCAAAACATTTTTCATTTTTCTAGTTGTTTTCCCCTGACTGCGTGTGGGCAATATTTGCCAGCTAATGTATTGAATTATTTTTTTCTGCTGCTTGTTAGTTACATTTCTTATAATTGTGCTGCACTTTTGAATATAACAGGATATTGCTTTATCTTTCTGTTTAATTTGACCAGAGTTAAGAATGGTGAGGTGAATTAAATGCTTAGGGAGTATGGGGCTGCATTGGGTTGCAAAAATGGCACGTGCTTATGTGCCAGACCAGCTGAAAAGATTCCTTCATCCAGAAGTGCCTCCTGGATGTAGTCTTGATGGTGCCCCCATGTCTGTTACTTCCAGACATGTAAGAGGAAAGAAATATCTAAATCCACAGCTTAATAGTATGGGACTTAAATTATTCTTCTTGTCACATTGAAGCAAAGAAAATCTTTGATTCCTGTGGAAATACTGACTGCTGTGCAATATGTTCTGCCTGTGCAGAGTTACAGGGTTTTTCAGTGCATAGTCAATCTAGCCCTGGTCAAAGTGCCATTGTACTGAATGAATACAGTATGTGTAAATATGATCTTAGCATCTCTGCAATACCTTTCTAAGTAACAATTATTTCTTTATGAATTTGTGCATTTTTATTACATTGATGAATGCTAATTTCTTATGAAACATTATCTTAATTTTAAGCAAATAAAATTTGAGATCAGAACGTGACCCATCTTTACACTCTAAGGGGAGTAAGGCAGCTAAAAGTGCTTCTGGATTTTCTGACGCTCTCTATTTGAAGCGGTGCAGTCACATGAAGAGGCACTTGTCTGGGCTGCTTTTCTCACCTAGTCAGAGTTTACAAAAGTCTAAGTGACAGCCATTGTTTTCCACAAATTCATGTAGCTTGACATTTGTTTATTGCTGCTGTAAATCCTGAGAAAATGCCTCCTCTCACATATTTTACCTGTGACTGAAAATGCAAGCTGGCAGTATCAAGTGTTCTGCTGTTTGAATGGGGAAAAGAAAGACTTGTTTCTGGTTTTGCTCACTCTTCTTAGCTTAGGTAAATTTTTTGAAGTTTCTTTCCAATTTGCTTTGATTTGACAGAGAAGAGAACCAGACCTTCAATTAGTGAAAACAGAACATAAAGATCATTAGGTAAAAAAAACCAATTAGTGAAAACAGAACATAAAGATCAATAGGTAAAAAAAAAAAACGTAGTAGATACCCTGCTTACAAAATTAATGTTGTTTATTTCTACTGTATATTTCTTTTCTTGCTCTTAGTGATGTGAATGCCCTTGGAGATTATGTGCTCTCTTTTGTAACAGGAGCATTATGCAGATTGCTCAAGGAACAGCTATGGCAGTAAGAATATGGGAGAATATACAGTAATGCCATATAAAGGCCCTGTTAATCTCTATTAGAGGTCTTTCTAGGGTGTCCCCTGAGTTTGATACAATGGGGTCTTTTCTGTTTCTGGAGTAATTGGAATAGAATAGAATAGTAGCAGAACAAAGCAGTTGTCTTGTTTCTGTCAACAGTTAAATTTTTTCTGCCCAAGCTAAAGCATCTGCTCAATGTAATCCTTCATGTGTCAAACTGCAGTGGTATTAGTTGCAATGTTCTATGGGAAAAAAAGTAAACTTTGTAGGTCCTCCTTTTTTTTCCTAAAGTGACATTCTCTTCATCATCTGGGCTTTTCAAATTTGTTTCAGCAAAGCTGTTAGGCAGTAAGGCAGCTTTCAAGAATTCCATTCTAGCTAAAATAGCTTAGACATAACTACCTAATTCAATGCTCTTGAATGAGGAACAATGCAGTTCCAGAGTGAAAAAATGAAGTTCAGGGAAAATACTTTTAACTGGAAAATTTAGGCTTTGTTAATCTTCATCTTGTCACTAGGAAGCTCAGTTTCTTATACCTAAGATTCAGTAGTCATTAAGCTGCATATAGTGAAGAGCTGCTTTGTATGTAAACATCCGATGTGTAGCTTTTGAGCTGTGGAAGCTTTCCTTCCATGAGAAAAGAAAATAAATCTGTAAACTTTCCTGCACAATAATTCCTACTTCCTTGGCACTAGAACTTTCTTTGGAATCTTGTGTTAAGGCAGAAATGTGGAGCTTAGCTTGCAATGTGAGCCGTGACTTGAAGTAATGCTACACAGACCCACTCAGTATACTTTTATCTCTTATTAGGAAAATTGCTGCTTATGATGAAGAAATTCAACATCTCTATGAGGAAATGGAGCATCAAATCAAAAAGGAGAAAGAACAGTTTCTCTTGAAAGTGAGTGGTTCTTTGTTATTGTGGGCATGGATTCTGCTCCCCCTTTCTGTGGTTTTATACTCATTCTGGGTGTGAAATGAAAGCCCACAAAATATGTTTTGCAACAAAATATGAAAAAACATGATTTACCTCACAGCTAAGTTTGTACTGATCCAGTCTTTGCAGCTGCAAACTATGTGAGTTGTTGGATGACAGTAGCATTGATGTCCTGTGCTCAGTGTTTGGCATACAGTAGCAGCTGGCACTCTTTTGAAAGTCAGTTGAACTACAGCCATTGTATTATTGCTGCTGCTACAAGCTCAACTTCTGGTCACAATTAGGAAAAATGCTCCTTGAGGTTGTTCAGAGTAGCACCAACCTTGTTGACTTCTGCAGTGTCTGCTTTTGGGGAGGGGATAAGTTCTCACTGAAAGGCAACAAGATATGAATCAAGTGTTGGTAATTTCTGACACCACCAGAGCTATTTGCAAAAATAAACACAGGCCAAATTCTGTTGTCACGGACATGATGATTGATATGAATCAAGTGTTGGTAATTTCTGACACCACCACAGCTATTTGCAAAAATAAACACAGGTCAAATTCTGTTGTCACGGACATGATAATCCCAGAACACCTGACATTGAATTCCCTTTTCTTACTAAGTCTTCTTTAAATCTCCTCTACTGCATTTGTAGTGTTTTCTTTGGATTTTTTCTGTCCTGCTTTTTGTCATCAAACAAGGAAGTGTTGGTAATTTCTGACACCACCACAGCTATTTGCAAAAATAAACACAGGTCAAATTCTGTTGTCACGGACATGATAATCCCAGAACACCTGACATTGAATTCCCTTTTCTTACTAAGTCTTCTTTAAATCTCCTCTACTGCATTTGTAGTGTTTTCTTTGGATTTTTTCTGTCCTGCTTTTTGTCATCAAACAAGGAAGCTAACAGAAACTTCTAATATCCTCCAGGAAAGAGTCACCTTAGAATCATGTAGGTGGGAAGGCACCTTTGCTATTCCTAACTTTCAAGCTATATTAGATTTCTCAGGGACTTGTACAATTAGATTTTGAGTATGCAAATGTTGGAGGTTCCACAGGTGCCTTGGGTGGCCTGGGACAATCAATCATGAGCTACTGGCTCATGCCTTTTTATTGTCTTGGCATCAGTCATATAAATGAAACCAATATATGGTTTGAGCAACATGTGATGCACAAAATGTTGCCAAAATAGTGGGTTTTGTCTCCATTCTCCATCAAATATTATATCTAAAACTTCCTTTCGTGATCCAAATACATGAAGTACTTTTTTTGTTCCCTGACAAAAAAGAAAGTGCTTTTATCAGCTAAGGAATCAGTCTTTTCACTTTACCTCACAGGGTAGTGAACCTGGCACAAATTTTCAAGTTCTTTGCCATTCCAAGTTGAGAACAGTTTTTAGTGGTAGATGAGATAAACCCTTTATATAAAATTTGTGTATCAGCTGAAGGATAAAAATACTTGCAACTTTGCCTGACAGCAGTTTTGTGGAAGAAATAGTTTATATGCTCTTAACAAGCCACAACTGAAGTGGTATTGAAAACCCTAAAACAACAAAGACTTTTCCATAAACAACAATTGTTGGATCTCCTAATTAGTTGTATATATGAGGTATAGTCATTTCTTTCAGGCTTTTTCATTAAAGCTTCCCACTCAAGCTATTTACAGTTTAGTCAGCATTCATGCTGAGGGTTGTCAGACGCTGAAGAAGTATTGTTTCTTGGCATGACTAATTTGGGATCTGGGGAGATCTGGCTGTTAAATTTGTTTCTAATGCAAAGTCTTACAAAGACTTCACAGCCTGGAGAGATGCATTGATGCCATATAAAGAGGAAATTATTATGGCTTGAATGAAGAGCAGCTCTTGAAGAATACATTTAAACAAATTGGTAAGATGCAAATAAGTACAAATTCTAGCTATTTACAATACTTAATACCCTGCTGACTGAATGTTATACAAAAGGGGCAGTTAGCCTGTCTTTTTCTCTTGGGTATATGTTCTTCCAAAGAAGAAGCCAGTTATGCGTTTGATTCCCCCGTTATGTGTCCTGATGAAGGGGAAATGCATGTAAGAACCACTGCTGTCTTGAGGGAATTTTTATTTTTGTTTAGAGGCATTTTCCTGGGGATCTTAGAGAGTAGAAACCTGTTGTGGAGGAACAGGACATTCTCAGCTGATACGAACTGCTGGAACCTGATTTTACTTGAGGGAGGTCTCACAATTTTTTTCAGCTGAAGTGTCTGAAGGAGCAATTCCAAATACTACTGGGATTTCCCAGTGATTGAAGGATACTTAGATAGTGGACAGGTTGATGTAATTGCTAAGTGAAAGACAGCGCTTGAAGCCTAAATCACTTGTTTATACCAGTGGAACACCTGTGACAAATTGTTGTTAGTGATGGAATTTAAATGTGACAGGTATTATTTCTTTTACTTCAACCTGAGTTGCTGTACTGTGTTTCAGTAACCTGTCTTTCCCACGTCAGTCCTGATATCTTGTATTTGAGTTATAGAATGACTCCATAATAATTTAAATTTGTCCAGATTGTTTCCATCGGTGCAGTCTCATCACTTCTCTGTGTCAGCAATTGTCTAGTTCAGGAAAGCAAATGTGCAGAAAGCTGTTCACTCTTCTGCTGTTGGCTTTTTTCCCCCCCCCCCAGCTTGTTTAGCTCTCCGAAACAGCTCACTGCTGCAATGGATGAGTGTGAATGCTACTGTATAGGAGTATGCGGGTATGTGAGACTGGAAATTGCAAGATGCATTCTAGCTTCATTGATTTAGATTGGCTAAGCTCCTAAGGCTTATGCCTAAGAAAGAAGACTTCTGCCTCCACTTTGTAGACTCAATATCCTACTCATGTGCGATCAGCACATCCCATAGCAACTGCAGTCATTGAAGTTGCTGGGCTGCACCAGTTTACAGAAGCTCAGTGTTTAGAGTAATTCTACCATCCCTAAACTGAGTGCTATCAGTGTCTCATTATATTCACAGTGTAAAGCTTGTCTATTATTTTCATGCCTGATTCCTTATTTCTCCTCCTGCTGATGCAATTGTGCTATTCGATTAATGCATTTTCTCTTTGAAATTTGCAGGACACAGAGAGGTTTAAGTCCTACAGTCAAGACCTGGAGCTTAAGCTGCGGTCAAAAGAACAAGAACTGGAACAATTGGCTCAAAAACAGAAAAGGGTATTAACTAATATCCATTAGAGTTTAAAAAAATAGATAATTCTTAAACTCTTATTTGTTCAATTTATTTTCTTTAGATACAGTTTTAGGTCCCAAAACTGCAAGTTCTGCCAAACCAGTTCTGCCAAACTGTAACATCCTACTGCTTTTGTGTCATGTGCTTAGGAAAAATGTTATTCTCTGTTTCTAGAATGATTTTCCTTTTTTATGATAAAATGAAAAAAAAGTGCTCTAGGTATTCTCCCCAGGTGCCAGTTAGTTTTATGAAAATGTAGCAGAATTCCACTGCCTTCAATGTGCTGGGAACCAGATTAATAACACTTAGACAGCTTAAGAGCAGAGAACAATGATTTGGCTCTTACAGTGTGCACCTTTGCTCAAAGCTTGTACCAACCACTCATTTACTTGTTTTGGACGATTCAGCACTATGAACTTGAAATGCTCCCTCCTGAACAACCTGCTCCTGATATATCTCTGTGATAACAGTTTTATAGCAGTGCATGGTTCTCTTGCATGGTAACAGCTTGTCAAGTTCCCATATTAAAACCTGATGTGTTTTACTTCTTAAAATGCATGGCCTGCTTGAGAAAGCAGAGTATTGCTGCATGTGTGAACTTGATGTAAAGTGTTTCCAAGGTCAGTGCAGAAAAGACTAGCTATATGGAAAGGGGATAGCACTGGAATTTAAAGGGCTGAAATGGAATGCTGTAAACCAAATTCCCGCTGTGTGGAGTATGACTATAAAATACATGTAAAACTTTTTCTGGGTGGCAGTGCTTGGGAGTGCCAATCATTGGAAGCAGAACTAGGAGGGGAAGGGAAGGAAGAGGAAAAAGAAGTTGGAGGACAATTTCCTAGCAGTGTATAGTATTTAGATCCTCTTCTGAGGAATCAATCCCTATGCTGCTGAAGCTAATAGGACTTGCAGAATTGTACTAGAGTAGGAGAGGAGACAAACCTCTAGCTTATTATAATTATGCAAGTTGGGGCTATCCTGGGAGGGGGCTATCACATGTTAAATTAAGCATGTGACTGATAAAAGCAGCATGGATTCACCAAGGGAAAATCATGCTTGAAAAGCCTGTTCACCTTCTACAGAAGAAAGAGACACCCTGCAGGAAGACCTAGATAGGCTAGGGGAGTTGGCTAACAAGAAGTTCAGTAAACACAAGTGGAAGGTCTTGCACCTGGGAAAACATAATCCAGGAGTGCAACACAGGCTGGAATCTGTCTGACTGGGGAGCAGCTCTGTGGAAAGGGACTTAGGGGTTTCCAGCGGACAACAAGCTCAATATGAGTGAACAGTGTGCTGCTGCAGCAAAGGGCAACCAAAATGCTGGGTTGTATCAACCAGCAGGGATTATTCCACTCTGCTCAGGGTTTGTCAGGCCACACCTGATATACCATGTTGTTTTGGTCCCTGCTATACCAAATAGATGTGGACAGGCTGGAGAGGATCCAGAGAAGGTTCACAAAGATGATCAAAGGACTGGGAAACCTGCTGTATGGGGAAGGGCTGAGGGGACTGAGTTTGTTCAGCCTTGAGAAATAAAGGCTTAGGGGAGGCCTTATCACCATGTTCCATTATTTAAAAGGTGGCTATGAAGGATGTGGAGACTCCCTTTTTACAAGGGGTCACATGGAAAAGACAGGGGTAATGGATACAAGTTACTCAGGAGATTCCAACTAGACACAAGATGAAAGTTTTTGCCTGTGAGAACTATCATCCATTGGAATAAACTCCCCAGGGAAGTGGCAAATTTCCCAATGCCAAACACTTTTTAAGATTCAGCTGGACAGGGTGCTGGGTCATCTTGTCTAGACTGTGCTTTTGCCAAGAAACGTTGGACCAGATGATCCTTAAGTTCCCCTGCCAACTTTGTATTCTATGAATTTTAGCTGATGAGGATATAGGATGGAACGAAAAGCCCATTACATAACTGAAATCAACTGCCTGATGTTAATTACCTTTGTTCAGTCTCACTGTGAATCACAAGAGATGTGTTTTTATGCAGGCTCTTCACCACATTACAGCACTATAATGAAGTAATCTGGGCACACAGATCAGGTGTTTTTAGTCTGAAGCTAACTGCAAAAATATTATTTTGTATATATTATAATTTTGTTATGATTTAATTTCAGTATTTGCCTTTATTTGTTTGCTTTCAAGCTATGTTTAAAACTTAGTTATCAATCACTAATTCAGCAGTACCTTTTTGTTGTGTTTTTCTAGAGTATATGTGTTTTAAGTTTGGTATAAAACCTACAGAATCTCTTCAAAGGTTTACACTCAATTTTATGCCTGGTGTAAATCAAGCAATACAGGCAACAGTATTGGAAGTCTTAAGATTGTTGTCTACATTGCCATTGTGTATTATTGCCTATCTTGGAGAACATAAAGCAATATCTGAGTTATTTTTATTAGAATTATTTTTATCTGACTTTGTTTTTTTTATTCACTGCATTGTTTATGATTTATAGCATTGCTGTGTTTTTTATTTTGTTCGTTATTTCTATTATTTATCATTTCCCCTCTCCCTTATGAATCTGCCTGAGTCACAACAAGGGTGCTTTTGAAGGACAGGATCTTCATACTACCATAAAAAATAAACTATCCCGTTTTATTTTTTATGGAAAGGAAACTGGGTTGGATAAAGGGAATTCACTTTTCTAATGTTGTTATAAGTAAGATAGTTTTATTCAGGTGATTAATGGCTTTTGAAACTTTTGTCATTCTACCAGGTGGTGGGCCTGTTGTTAATCTGATATGCAATATTTGATGCTGTTTTTTCTCGTATAGCAGCCTAGTCTGGCTATTTGAATACTTTTCTCAGTGTAGTTAGAGGCAGTGTTTTCTACATATGTTTTTCAAATTCCTAATGATTTTCTCTAAAAGTGACTTTTGTCTTTCCTTAGGTATGTTTTTATAATACTACATTCGCACTTGCTTTCTGGTATTACTTTTCACTCACCTAGATATCAATGTGTTCTGGCTAAGGTTTGCTGTATCCAGAGATCTCTGTCACTTTCACCTCCTCCTCGTGCATGGAAATATACTTTGATTTTTAAATCTATCCTTGCAGACAGTAATGGTAGCTTGGCTTAATTGCAACTTCCATGTTTAATTGTATGAGAGAACCTCTTGTGTGTAATACAAATGATTTTTTCCATAAAATTCATTAATATGTCTTTTTCTTTTCTATTTCTTGTTCCTTTTCTGTTTTTAAATACAATGTAATTATTCCTATACTGGAAATTATTATCAACAACGTGAAAGAGAGCTTCCAAATCAGATGAATTCAGTGTTGTTTCTGCTGACACAGCCAGAGGCATTATCCCTTATGAGGGTCTTCTGCCTGGCATGACTGAAATATGGATCTGATTCCATGTTAACTGGCCAAGATTCCCTTGACTAGGCCTTTTTGCTGGCTACTATGGTCTTGAATTTTCAACTTGCTCTACGTGGTGTAGATGATGCTCAAGGTTTGCTCAGTAGTGTTCCTCATGGGATGTGTGATGAAATGTCTCAGAAGGAGCGTCTGGGGACAGAGGTTGTTCAGCATAACATCTAGGGCACAGAATCTTGTATTAGGGGAAGAAAGTAGGTGTGGACCATGTAAAATGCAGAAGAGTTGCTGGGTTTCTCACATAAAATGATGGGTTCTGTGCTGATGACAGCCACTGAGGGGCATGATCTTGGGATTTTTGAATGAGACCCAGGAGAACATGGATCAGCAGCACTCAAAAAATGTAAATCAAGTGAAGAGATTGTTAAGAAAGGCATTAAGAACAAAATAATCCCCAGCCATGTAACGCTGTAACAACTGTTTCATTTTTCGCATACACCTGAAATAAATGGGAAAAAAGAGAAAAAATACAGAAAGGATGCTGAGCTAAGAACAGGGGAATGCTTGGAGAGTGCTTAATGTATGCGTCTTTCTGGGACAAGAATAGCTGTCCTCAACAACAGTTTGTTTGTATTGGACAATCCCCCAACTCAACTCTAACTTGTGTTTTTCCTCCAATTTATATGAAAAAAAAGAGAATATGCAACATCAGCTACCGTGCCTCTGCTTGACCTGTGGTAATGGGTTAATTCTCTCTGCTACCTAGATTTTCTTAAACATGACTATGGGCCATGAGTGTTTCCCCATCATTTTTCATCTACCAGATCAGCATTGGGAGCCAATTAACATCTCCAGTAAGCAGCTAGAGCCTATAGGGCCTATGCCATTCTATTACCAGCTGAGCATCCACCTAATGAGTTACTCCACTATATTGGGAATTGTTTAAATGAATGCTTTAGAAGTATTGTTTGGCATCTCTCAAAGCATTGTATAGGTACAATGAAAGAAAGGAACTCTGTATTGCTCCTTTCTCCTTCTGTTGCACCATGGAGTTTAGATATGATATTACTGTTTTTCTGAAAGAGTAAGCACCAGGATTTATAGCAAGCTCTTCTAACATCAGTATATGTGATTCTGGGAGCTGATGTTAGCTCCCATTGGAGTTATATTTCCAGAACAGTCTCTGTGTAAGTTTTCTGATGGCCATAATATTCTGTAAGTGGGATTTCTACCTGCAACTTGTGACTCATAAGATTTTTGAAAGTTATTTTTGTGTGGTCAATTTTTGCTTCTACCAAAGCCATTCCTCTGAACAAGAAAGTCTTGTTTTCTAGTACCCGAAGCATCTGGCCTTTTACTTGGAAGAGATAACTTCATTCTGTCAAGGAATGGAAGCAATATTCAGGAACTGAAATTCTCTATCTATGTAAATCAATGTTGCTCAGCAGTAATCTGATGCCCAGCTGGTCAGTGTTCCATGTGAACTGTGAGCCTGCTGAGGCGACAGTTCAGCAAATACATTAAGCTGGTGCTGCTGCTAAGTGCTCCAACTCTGCTCTTATTCCTGACTTTTCACAATCCCAGCTAGAAAGTATTTTCTTCTTTCATTTTAAATCCTGGCCTTGTTCAAAACCAAGACTAGAACAATGGCAGTATTGTGGAGTGGGAACGGACTAGCAGAGCTAGGTGAGGACAGATTTTGGTTGGGTGAGCTCTGCTTTTTGGGATGTGCACAATGAGAGTTCTAAAAATGTTGTCTCTCAGATCTGGAAGTTTGAAATGGTATCATTTTAATGCTCCTTTATATACCTTAAAATGCATACAGACAAAAATAAAATCATAAGACTTATATTTTTAGGTCAGCAGTGCCTTCCCCAATGTGACGTAGACTAATTTTAATCTACTTAACTTTTGCTCTAAGTTTGCTCAGTTAGCCAGGGAGAAGCAGGTGGAACTTCTTTATATACCAGAAACCACTGTCTTCTTCTGTTATCTGTTTCACAGGGAAGGTGTATCTTTCTTTTGATGTGAATATAAAAGTGAATAAAAGAGCTCTAATTCACACATCTTGGCAGATCTAGCTGAGGTGGCAGAAAGGTTGCTGCTTGTTCATATTACAGGGGATGGGAAGGTTTATCAGCTACCAGATTTAATCTAACAGTTTTTAGACAGAACTCTGAATTGCTCTGTGTAAGCCTTGTCTTTGTGGGAAAGGGTCTAAAATAGCAGTTGTAAATACCAAGTAAATGCTGCTAATCTGCTCTGTAGCACCTTTTTTTTTAATGGTTTGTCCTGGTACATTTTTGATCTGGATGAAATTCAGTCATATAGTGGAATGGCTTTATTTTAGTGTAAAGTAATTATGTCTGTACAAAGAGCAGTGGAAGAGCACCATATGTGTTTTATTTGCATTTTGGCTTTGGTGGAAATAGCTTCTCTATTCAACTAACCTCTAAGACTTCAGTTGAGAGCCACAAAACCAAGATGCCTCAGTTAGTTACAATTCTTTCTGTTCTCTTTGCTTCCACCCCAGTTAGAGCAGCAATGCACCGAACTCGTCAGTGGCAAAGAAGAAACCAAAGTAGAGAACACCAAGCTGAAGCTGACTAACCAGGAGCTGCTGAGAGACCTGGAGAGAACATCACGCGAACTAAGCCTGGCTCAACAACAGTTAGGGGTGCTTCAGGAAGAGTCATCAAGACTACATGAGGAGAAGGAAATGTAAGTGTCTAGCTGCAGTATTTCTAGTTCATTTGCTTAGCGTGCCAGTGAGCCTCCTTCTCACAGTATGCAGTGTTGTAAATGAAGTTTATGCCATAAGTAGAGCCCACCATCAAAGCCAAGTGCAGTTCTAGCCATTTCCCCAAGTAATTCAGCATCTTTTCTGCCATATCTGTCTTCTACAGAATCTTTTGCTACTTCTTCAAAATGTCTGTGTTCTTTCCCTCTCCCCTCCCCATCTCTGCCATTTGTTGTAATTAAGAATCAGTTTAATGTCTTAGTTTTGAAGCAGCAGTGGGATTCCTTACAGAAATGACAGTTGTGGCACATGTTGCTCCAGCCTCCTCAAAGCTAAGTCTATCTGAAACTTGCTTCTTAGAATGTACTCTGGCTATGAGATGGCTAGGATGTACTTCTTTCCATTTCATGAAAAGTAATTCTAGAACATCATTTCTGACCAAGGAACCTGGCCAGCAAGATCAAAGAGCGTATGCAGCTAAATCACAATTCATGGAAGGCTTTATGGTCATCCAGAACCATAATTTTGGGGTTTCCAGTTCAAATGTTGAGGATTTTAGATTCTGATTCTGAAAAAAAAATCAAGGAGGAGTATTTACAGTTCATATTTTGAGGGATAGAAATGACCTTTAAGTGGCAAATCAATCTACCCGTCTTGCTCCAGCCTTCTGCACAAGCAGAAGTTACGTTACCCTGGAGCCATAACTGGCAGAAATGTTCACTGAACTCAATTAAAAAAAATGCTCAGGGATCTGTAAGACCCTCTCATTGCCAATGGAGAGCACGTGGATGCCAGACTGTGGTGCATATCTAGCCAGACTCTATACATTTCAGCAATGAACTATATAACTCAGAGCTGTGGCTGTTTGACAAATATCAGGAGAGAGCAGAATATTATTTCAAATGTCATATTTTTTTCTGTTAAGCTTTGTGCCAAGATCCTACTTAGTTATTACTGATTTAATTTTCCATAAGAGCATAAATAATGAATTTTGGTGACAAATTATTGTTAAAGAATGGCCACCATGTTTAGAATGCCATTTTAGGTTTGCGTGTCTGATGTGTGTTTTGGAAGTAGACAGAAGAAATATTCCTCCTCAAGGTGGTTTGTTTCCTCTTTGAGGCCTCTCTTTTCAGATCCAGAGCAAAGACTATGGAATGATCTGGTTTTAAAGCTACAGAGGAAATCTACCCAGTGGTCAGACTGCTGAATAATACTACTGCATTTACAAAGCACTTTGGATTCAATAGTGGTTAATGGAATTAGAGCTCAGCCCTACTCAACTGCACCTGCAGTGTTGCTTTAAACATCTGTATCAGTCTGGTAAGACCTGAGCTGTTGAAGCAGGCATAATGTTCAGACAGTGCACAGGAAGAACCTGAGGCTTCACTGAAAGGCAAAAAAACATTTAAGGGCAGGCACCAAATTGTATTAAGTCAAAGTAAATGTTGTAAAAATGGCTGCATAGTTGTCAGGAATTGGAAAGAAATTGTAGGAATTTTGCATGTGTGTGAGCCTGACACATGGCTCCATCAGCAAGATGAACTCTAATTTTAGATAAAATGTTACCTGTTTTTCAGTGGCCATGAGTGAGAAGTATTTCAGTGGTGTATCTTTTCTGAATGACAGTATCAACATATATTAACTACTCTGGATGAAGAAAACAAAAAGCTGTATTTTTTAAAAAAAAGAACCTCTACTCCTTCCTCTGCTAACTCTAACTGCTGTGGTACTGTGGGCTTTATAACTGAATAAACTTCTATAAAATTAGTAACCATTCATGAAAAATAAAGTCTACAGGTTTGGAGAAACTGAAGTCTGAAATGCAGATGCGTCTAGGGGGAAGCATTTTAGTAGTGTTCTTACCATGGTTAGAACAATTTTGTTTTTTCTTTTTTGTTACAGGGAGGTGTACCGAGTGACAGAAACCTTACAGAGAGAGAAGTCAGGACTTCTGAAGCAGCTGGATTTCTTAAGGTAATGCAGGCCTTACGTTCAAAAACTTCTCACATCATTCTAAAGAAGTACATTAAAGGATGAAATTTGATTAGGCTGTGTACTGGGTGTAGGTGGCCAGGTGTGGACAGTGGGGTGCCACAGGGGCAGCCTCTGTGCCAGAGGGAAGAGTTCAGGGCTGCCCCACACTGATGCACACAACACAGGGCACAGTGGAGCCCCACAGCCACAATGGTGCTGCTTCTGGGAAAGCCTCTATAAGAAAGGTTAGAAAGCACAGGAGTTGTGAGAGAGGAGTAAGAAAAAAATGTTTGAGAAAGCACTTCGGACACCAAGGTCAATGAAGAAGGAGGGGTAGAAGGTGCTCCAGGCAATGGGGCGGAGAGTCCCTTGTAGCCTGTGCAGAGCCCACACAAGAGCAGGCTCCTGGCAGGTTTTCTGGCAGGAACTGTAGCCCGTGGATGACCCATGCTGGAGCATTCCATTTGTGAAGGACCATGCCCCATGGAAAGGATATATGCTGCAGCAGTTTGTGAAGGACTGTAACCTGTGTGAGGGAACCCACATTGGAGCAAAAGAATAGTGTGAGGAGGAAGGAGCGTCAGAGAGGAGCTGTTATGGACTGACCACAAGTGCCCCTGTTCCCCATTCCCCTGTGGCACTCAGAATTGGTAAGGAGATAGAAGAGTTGAGAGTGTAGGAGTGAATTTGAGCCTCAGAAGAAAGGAGACTGAGGAGAAGGTGGTTTTAGTTGTCTTTGTTTCTCATCATCCTACAGTTGAGTGTTTTGTCTGTAATGGTAGCCCTTATCTTGACCCAAAAGCCTTTCTATCTTATTTTCTTCCCTTGTCATATTGAAGAAGGGGAGGGAGAAAGTGGCTGGGTGCACGTCTGACAGCCATTCAAGGTTGACCTGCCACAGGATAATGACACAAAAGATAGTAAAAATGATTACAAAAGACTTTTGTATGCCCTGTTCTTGCATACGGTAGAAGGCAGCACACGTGAAAGATATGCTTTGTTTTGGCAATTCATTATTGTAGGTCAATCTCCTTTCCAAAAATCAAATATATAATAGAGCAACAGTGAACTGTTCTAAACTGGTTCTGTGGTAGAAGAAGGAGACTTGTAGCTTGCTAAAAGGCTCTATTATTTCTCAAGTGATGGAAGTTGAGTCAAAATGAAGAGTCTTCCCCCAAAATGTTTGTTTATTAAATGATACCAAATATAGTTAGCTAACATTTCTTTATTGATAGACTTCGAAGTTTGGTGCTGTGTTCAGACAACTGTAGCCCTCTTTATAATGTGCAGCAATGTTAGATTGTTTGCACAATGGTCAGTTTGCACAGGCTATAGATTGCACCTGCCTGTAGGCCTTCATTGACTGCATTTCTTTCAGGAGGCTTCGTTTTATAGTTACCTAAAAATGTCATGGGCTGGAGGAAAGGCTGTTTTTTTGCAGTGTGTGTCCATTCCATGTGGTGTGATCTTGCCTGCTGCAAGTAATGGGGGATATAGATAGAAATGTCTGACAACAGAGGTTGTTTCTATTCACCCAGACTATAATGGCTACTCCGCCTCTTTTTTTGGCCAGGCCAGTGACAGATGGAGACAATGGATGATGTACTAAGCAGGTGTGTTGTCAGATCTCAGCAGAGCTTTCTAATTGCCTGGAGTCTTCATTTCTTGACATTTTTATCTTTTCTGCATAAAGGATGGAAGATGGATGTTTTTATAGGGAAACTTTTCCATGGCAGCCCCTCAGAGGGACATAATAACTGGTCTTCACATATGCTACTGGAAGAACAAGAGATGGTGTTCATTACACCCTCTCCACATTAAGATGTCATCTTTACTGTGAAAATCTTTAAACATTCTAACTTATAGTAAATGAATGCATATTGACCAGAACTGATAACCATGTGTTAAGGCATAATGAGGTCCAGATGCCATCTGGCTTTAATCAGCATAGCCCTATTGGAGAATCAATAGCCCAGACAAGGAACTGGCTGTGGTGAGAATATAAATAAAGGATGATTGGAGGTTTACACTGCCAACTGTCCACTCTGTCTGCTAGTGTAAAAGTCAACAGTGAAAAGTCAGCAGTTCTAAATACTTGGCCTCAGTGTTTATTTTGTTTGTGTTCTCCTTACAGAGAGAGGAACAAACATCTCAAAGATGAACGTGACATATTTTTACAGGTAACCAACTATTATTTTCAGAGCCAGTGTTGAGCAAACATATATCAGAACAGCGTCAACAGAAGGAGATCAGAGACCATACTGGAGACAGATTTTTGTGGTACTTAAATCCTGCTCCATTCTTAATCTATGTCATCTTTTTTCTCACTTGAGAATAAGATTTTTTAATTTGCTGAACAATTTCTAGAGCTGCATGTTTAGAATTATAAAGTTGGAACTATCTGGAGAGAGATGAATGCATTTTAGAAGAAACTAAGGATGTAATCATGAGAGGATGAAATAACCTAAAAGTTGAACAATTAAATTGTGTTTATCTATTCAGTCAAGAGTAGCTAATATCCTGAAATGTTTATGCAACAGTACAATAACTGAAGTACATGAATCACTATCTGAATGCTTATTGGTACTGTGTAAGAGAAGAGCACACTAACCTTTTCAACAGCAGCAGAAAAAGGGTACCTGAGAAGTTCCAGAAGTACCCTGACTTAAGGAGACTAAGGCAGCTTAGTTCACACTTGTTTGTGTTCTTAGTCCTATAAGAAGTTGCTGCTGTAAAAAATATACCTATTGACTTCTTTTCATGACATTGTGCTGTTTTGTTGTGGTCCACTCTGTTTACAAAGCAGATGAATTGTTGCAGGATCTGGAGTTTCTGTGTTCTGATTGTTTATCAATCAGGATTTTGAAGCATTTATACCTCTAGAATTTTATTCTACAGTTTTTTTCTTTCATATGCATTGCATTATTTAAGCATTAGGAATGAGGATTAACCATAATGAACAACAGGAGTGTATTAGTAAGAAGTATTCTGTATTTCTGCAGAAATGCAAAACAAGTGTTCCAAAAGCCAGCTGGAAGCAAAGATCAGGGTCTGTCATTGGGAAATACATAGAAGGCAAGATGCTACCTATCAGGTAAGAAATTTTTGTCATGTGTTCCCTGTGTGAGTATGATGAAGCTTATAGAAAGAAGATATGGAAAGTTTTCTAATACCTTTGGATTTTTCAAAGCGTGTGTTTCTAAAGTGTCTGTCACTGGAAGATTACTATGATCTTTAAGAAAATTGGAAATAAAGAGAAAAATTTTCACATAAAACAAGTGCACTGTCTACAAAGGTGAGGGATTTCCCCATTGTGGATGAGTATGTTGGGAGGCACAAAAGCTTGCCCATTACCCTTTGTTAATGTGGTAGAATGTCCTTGATAATTTCCTCATTGTAGAGACTAGCAGTCCTGTTGTAAAGTTTATCAATCCCATGATGTGGAACTGGTGAAACACGGAGAATTTAATTCTCACCCATGTGGTTGTTAACTTGAGATCTACAGGAACAAGATGTTGATCTCAGTGAAACACTGCATGTTTCCTTTGAGACAAGAGGAGCAGGAAAGACTTAGTATTTCACTTTGAAGTAGTAGCTAAGACAATGACCCTGCAGGCACGAGGTTGTGAACTGTAAGAAGGGAAAGATTTCAGAGACAGGGTTTAGTAAGTTTAGTACTGAGAATTGGAGCATCATTGGCAGAAGTAATTAGGGCACAAAAATCATACTAAAATTTAGGTGGGAAGGGCCTCTCATGTCTCAAGTCTAATCTCCTTCTCAAACAGGGAGAACTCCTTAGGTAGATAAGGTTGCTCAGGGCCTTGGTCTATTGAGTTTTTGAACATCTGCATGGAGGTCCCACAGTGACTTTGGGCACCTGTTCCTTTGCTGCCTCAGTCTCATGAAGAAATTTTGTTTCCTGTATCAGGTCAGCATTTCTCTTATTGCAACTTGCATCTGTGGTCATTGCACACACCTCAGAAGGCTCTGACTTTATTTTATCTACACTCCTCCTTCTGTTGCATCCACACCTAGGTTTGTTTAATATGGATGAAAAAAAAGGCTATCTCCTTCCCACCTGTTATGGAGAGAATTAGATAGCACATAGAAAGGTTCTGGGCTGGGGGATTGTTTTATTCTTTGTGAATGGGGCCAGGGATGGAAAAGGGGGAAATCACAGGATAGAAACTTACTTTAGCTATTCCATGAGGTTAAAAAGAGGTTAATCTAATGTTTTCTATTCTGGTTCAGGTTTCTCCCATAAGTTATTAGCTTTCCTCATGACGCTTATAATTACTAAGCATGCTATATATATACTCATGGTATGATGAGCTGAATTTTCCATACACATTGGACTGAATCTGCTGTGCCTGCTGTGAATAGAAAAAACATGGGAGTTTAAATTCAGTTACACTAGAATAAAACAATAGGAACCCAGGTCCAATCTATTTTTGTGATGTACTTTCTTTTTAATCTGTCTAGCCATTCATTTGAAGATGATGATATTTTCAATAACTCACAGAGAAGGAATTCTGCTGGACTGAATGGAACTCTCTCTGAAGACCCTGATGCTGGAGTTACTGGAGTAATGTCTCCACATCTCCAAAGAATAATATCAATTGAAGAAGATCCCCTACCCCAGCTTCTTGACAGGCTGGCTGATAATCAGCTGAACAGATGGACTGAAGATGATGACTATACTACTTCTGAGATGGAAATGCATAAGAAAAACACAGAGCAATCAATGGAACACTCACCATCATCTTGTAGAGAGCAGCCTGTAGGGAAGGAAACACTGTCAAATGTAAGAGGACAAAGGGACCCTCACCTTGAGTATAGTGTGAAGTTCTGGGCCCTGTGATTTAAGGAGGATGTGAAGGTCCTTGAATGCATCCAAAGAAGGTTAATAAAGCTGGTGATAGGGCTAGAAGGCATGTCCTATGAGGAGTGACTGAGGATGCTGGGTTTCTGTAGTTTGGAGAAAGAGAGGCTGAAGGATGACCTCCTTGCTCTCTGCCACTCTCTGAGGAGGGGAAGGGGAGAGGGACGTGCTGATCCCCTCTCCTTGGGATCCAGTGATAGGACATATGGGAATAGTTCCAAGCTGCCTCAGGAGAGGCTCAGACTTGATGTTAGGAAGCATTTCTTTAACAGGAGGGTGATCAAACACTGGAACAGACTTCCCAGAGAGGTGGATGATGCTCCAAATCTATAAGTGTTTAGGAGAAGAGAGGTGGATGATGCTCCAAATCTATCAGTGTTTAGGAGACATTTGAACAGTGCCCTTAATAACATGCTTTAACTTTAGGTCAGCCCTGAAGTGGTCAGGCAGTTGTAGGTCCCATCCAACTGGAACTGTTCTATTCTATTCTACGGGACATTGGAAAACAGGAATGCATTATTCTTAGAATCTAAAATTATTTAGTTTTTTGCTTTTAAGTTAAAGCATGACAAATTAAGCCATTACATGAAGTGGGAGATGGAAATGTACTGGAGAGAAATGTTGAAGGTGCAAAGAAGGGAAACTCAACCTAAAGGAGTGGTAACTGCAATCTGTGCATAGACTTATGTCTGAAGAACTATTTAGAAAAAGTGAACTTAAGCCTTGTAATAGATAACACAAGAAGATCCACTGAAAGGCAGCCATTGTCTAAAAAAAGCAACAGTTCTTTCTTTTGAAAACTTGGGGCTTTTTTTTTGCCATAAAGTGGTATGTCTCATGTTCTGATACTTTTGAGTCAGAGTTGGTGGTTGTTGCATTATCTGAGAAATAATGAAATATGTTTACTTTTTAATTATTTTTGAGAAGGCTTTTAATTAGCAAATTGAAATCTGATGGGTTTTTTTCAGCTCGAGATTGTATATGCATGTTAGCAATGAATTCACCATGCAGTAATTAATAATCCTTAAAACAATGTGCTGGAAGGTACATTTCTTTGTAGTCTAAAGTTCTTCTTGCACTGCTATTGCTTCAGAGCTAGCTGTGCTTGTTTTCTAATTTTAGTGTCATTGTTAAGTATTACTCATTTTTAGATACTTGAAGCACATTAAAAAGATTAAAGTATAGGGAAAATAGGTTTGCTTGGTCATAATTATATAGTTCTTTTAGTAGAAGCAAGCCTATCTTAAAAATTATGATAGAATTATGCCATGGTTACATAATAACTTCTAAGTTGTACCTTTTAATAAAATGTCTAGGGTACAGAACAGACTTCATCTTTTGAAATTATTTAATACAATGCATGTTTTTTGCTTGCTATATACTTATTTCATATCAGATTTTCGAAGTATGACATCATTGGACTTTAGAACAGCAAAAAACAGGAATCTCATCCTGTCCAGCTAGGACAAACTTGTCCTACCAGCTCTGTTTCAGCAGTCATGCCTGTTGAAAGCACATCTTATCAGCTGGATAGGAACCAAATCCCGCCCCTTATTGTAATGTTTTTTTTTCCCCAAGAACTGTTGAGACCAAGCTGGGAGTGAAGAGAAGAAATTATAAAATTTCTCATGCCTGGTTGTTGAAAATATTTTGTTTCAATTTCTAAAGAAACGTGGTGAGGGTAGTCAAGAAGTTAATTTCCAAAGGTTACTTAAAACTGGGAATTCCTTTTTTTATTCTTACTCTCTATGAAATGCCAGTGCCTTAGCCTAGCCATTAGTTTGGATTGGTTTTTCACTTGTTTTAAAAATTTAGTTTTAGAAAAAAACACAGCAGAATACTCCTTTCTGGTAAATTCTGTCATGTGGCACTGAAATATGTGCATGGTCTTCTTGGCCTGTCAAGGACTATTCAGTTGATGGCATTTCAGTGCTTAGGGCAGTCTCCGTGCTAAGTGTCTGACTGCTGCCCATTTCATGTGAGTAGTGCATCCTCTCCTTCCATGCATGCTGCAGCTGTGGTCAGATGCATTTCTCATACAACTTGGTGTTTCCTGAGTGATGACTCTCAGGTTCACCACTTTCTGAACATGAGATTCAGACATCAAAAGTGATCTTGTTTCATACAGTGTTTGCACACTTATTCCCTCTTCTGACAACATGCCTGGGCTAGGAAGAATGGTATTCAATTAGTCACTGTTTTCAGGGCAGCTCCTCATGTAATGCTCAATTGGAGCAGAAGAAAACTTAACAAAAAGATAAGTCCCTGCTTGCTGCTTTGTAAGTTATGAGGTGTGAGTCTCAGGGCCATATGTCAACTAGGCTGCCTTCTGCAGCCAGTCCTTCTCTCCCCTTATGCTTTGCTGCTCAAAGGATCTGCAGTATGAAGGAGTTTAGGATCTAGAAAGACTTGTGCAAAGGAGGCAAGTGGTTCCTTGCAATTCTGCATATGTAGCTCACTCAGATACAAAGTCTTGTCATTCCCCGTTTTGCACTAGGAAGATAAAGGATCTGAAACCACCTGTATTTTTCAATTGTGTTCCTGTAGTCTGCAATGGCTTTGTATTACTGCATTCCATGATCTCATTGCTTACTATATGGAACTCAGGCTCCTAGCTGCTGGCATTAAGCCTTTCTACTATTTTCATTTATTCACAGTAATTTAGCTGCTAACCCTTTGCAAGCTACTGCATCTTATAGGTGAGTAGAACCAATGTTTGCAACAGCACGAGACCAGCAACTGCTCTTTTATCTGGGAGCTGTCGATCAGGTAGAACATTTTTCTGAGTGGCTAGGAAGATGAAGCTGTAGTTAGCATTAGCAGAAATGTGATTGGGAAAACAAAATCCTGAAGGAACCATAATGGAAATTAAAGCAAGATTTTCTGTCCAAAACTGCTGCCTGAGATGCAGTTCTTCTCCCCTCTGTTCTTTCAATATGGAATATGAGCCACTGTGTTTATACCTGCCATCTTCCACATTTGTGTTAAATTGCACAAAAACTGGGTGTGTTACTTGACCTGGCTACTGTTTATATAAAGACCACTCAAAAGACCCATCATGAGAAACTTCTTCAGACTGCATTGTAAACTAAATATACATCTCACTGCTATTCTATTTTCCCATCAGCACTTCATTGAAAAAGACTATGAAGTACCTTATCCCTTAATATAGTGTTCAGATGCAGGTTTATAATCGAGTTTGATTAGTGAAGTTGTTTTCATCAGTGGAGTTGGTATATCTCCATGAAAAATGATGTCTTATTATGTTGGGAGTTGAGCTGTAGGTCTCTGGTGTCTTTGAGTCTTAGTGCTACTGAGGTGTGTATTACCACCAGGGACAAGGTATTTCAGGTCATGTAGTCCATATATTTAGTTATTGTTCTCAGAAGCACTGTGAAAATGCTGCCAAGCTGATGTTTGTATGTTAACTTGTTTTATTTCCCAGAGCACACAGACTAATATGCTGGGAATGTTTTTCAGCAGAACAGAAAATGTGCTTTATATAAATGTTTGTGTATTACTAGCAGCCCATAGTTGCAGTGGGGTTTGATATTTTAATAGAAAAGGAGAATAAGGAACCCCTGTATAGTTTTAATGGGCTGTCAGCCCAGCTCATGTAAAAGACATGTATTTTTGTCCCCAAAATTTACAGCAGTGACTGATTATTTTTTTTTCATACTAAGGCAGATAGCAGCTTGAGTTTGTTTGATTTTTTTGTTGTTGTTGTTGTTTTGTTTTGTTTTGTTTTGGGGTTTTTTTCCCCTCCATCAAGTGCAGCTCTCTGTTTCTTCTTCTTTTGGTAAGACTTCAGTGTATTTGTAGAAAACACTTGCAAGTCCTGACTTCAGTGTCTTCTTCAAAGGACTGTTGGGCAGTGAGTTCAGTTCTGATGTCTTCATGAAAGCAGCACTCTCAGGGATTCTGCACCTCAAATGACTGGCAGAGGGCCTTCCACTCCCTTCTCTCCCCCTTCTCTCCCCACAACCCCCACCTCAACAAACTAATGCCAGGAGCTTCCATGATCTTGCTCCCCTTCTGCAGCATTGAGAACAAGGTTGCTATCTCCCTCTTTCTTCACATTTACACAAAATAGAAGTGCCCAGCTAGGGCACCCCCTGCAAAACAGCTGGTGTTAGTGTTCTTCCTTAAGCAACTCCTGATCTACATACAAACGAATAATGACCTACTGGACAGAGGATATAAATATTCTCTCCAGCATCCACTTAGCTTAGCCTCCAGTAAACAGGACCTGGATAAGCAGAACAAATTGTTGTTCTTTCTGCTTAAAAAACTAAATGACAGAAATATAGCTGAATGTTTACAGCCTGATTAACTGGTCTAATTCTCTCTCTGTCTCATTCCCCCATGCTTCTGCCTATAATGTTAAACAGATGTAGAAATGCAGTAATTGCATGGAATCTCTTGGCTCCATGGTAGTAGCAGAGAGAAGAATCTGGTGGCATAAGCCAAAAAAAAAATTACTTTGCTTCTGTTACCTAAATGATGATGTGCCACTTCCTGTGTGTCATTGGTATAGGATGAAGCTACTGAGCAGAGCTGTGTGAAGTTTTATAAAATTTGATTTGTGGCCATGAACATAGACCGTTTTATTTTGGCAATTTCATGCATTTTTCAATGCAGTGTCATGTAATGGTTCATATTCAGTATACTTCCAGAGCTCAATGCAAATCACTGCACTTCAAATGATCTGGAATGATGCATGGCAAACATCTGAAATGCTGAGTTATTTTAAGAAACAGAATATTGCTTCACGAGTAATGAAGAACATGATAGGATAAATGCTATTATTTTTACCATCAGCCTTAAGTTGGAGAGGCAATGGGATTTATAGAGCAGTTAGAGACTAATTTTTGCTCTTACTTGAAGGAGGAGAGAATAAACTCTGTCCCAGAGCGCTTATTCAAAATTATTTTTGTGGGCAATTCGAGTGTTGGAAAGACTACATTCTTAAGAAGATTTTGTGAAGATCATTTTTTCCCAGGCACAGCTGCTACTGTAGGTAAGTTTAAGAAACATTACTATTATTATTTTTGTTCCAACAGTACTTAGCATCTTCTACTGAGATCAGGCCCTGTGTTATAAAACAGAAGCATACAGATGTTGTAAAAGTAGGACATGCAAAGTGAGTTTGCCTAAACTGGGAAGCAGATAATTGATGGAGAGGTTTCAGAACAGATTCTGCACTGAAATCCTGGCAGCACTGAAATAAATCTGAAAAATCCTACTGATTTCAGTGAAGCTAGAATTTGCTTGTAGGTGTCACTGTTCTGAAACAAATATCCTGCTGTATACTAACCATACCACCTTCATACCTCATCTCTAGCCCTCTAAGTAATCTGATTTTGTTTTAAAGAGAAAGTAGAATATCTGAATTATATATTTGAAGATTTAGCATTATACTAATCACAAAAAAACCCTAATATGTCAGACCAGACATTCAAAGCCTAACATTTCTCAGCCTACATTATCTTGCCTGAAGTTGTAAACCAAGCTTTCAAAAGTCAGACACAAAATCAAGATACAAAAACTTAAGTATAGATTATTGCAATACAGATGAGTTAAATGACCAGATTATTTATGCTTAGCCTATATATAGGCCTTACTTATTCTTCAGCATATATGAAATAAATTTATTCACAATAGAAAGCATTTAAATTAATGGATTTGTATTGTATTTGTAACTGTCTAAGAACATTCAGGTGAGCAATTACTGCAGTTCCCTTGACTTATGGGGGGTACATAAAGACACCTGAGTTTAAATTTCTACTGGTATGTTGAGTGTCTAGATTCACATTGGAATCAGGGAAGATCTAAGTTCTTAGTGTATGGATTTAAATGGAATTTGGCATTCTAAGTTATTTCACCTGGTGTTCAGCTGCTACTTTGAAAGAGTGCAGGTCTCCTGGGTGTCCTGCCAGATTGAAACAGATACACTGATTGCCAAATAGCATCTAAAGTAGCACTAGGTGCCTGTGGGCAAACAACTGAATTCTACACTGCCATCCTTTTCTAATTAATCCAGTCAGAAGAGCCCAGGGACAAATTAACCTGACTCTTGGTGCCTACTTCAAGGTGAGCTTTCCTAGACTCAGTTTTTCATTGACTAGATCTTCATTAACTGGAATGGGAGCTTAGACATCTATATGAAGTTGTCTATTTGTGTATGCAAGAGACCTATATGCTATGTCCTATCCATGTTGTCTTGTAAATGGCTGATACACATCTCTAGACTCTGAGGTCTTGCACAGTGTGTGTTATTTTCCAGAGGGAAAACACAGGAGTGAGACAGTCCTTTTTCACCTTTTGGCTGGTCATGCAGTGTTCTTGCAAAGACAATGTCAAGAAAGTATTTGTCATAGCTTTGGTTTAGTCTTGATACATCAATGAGTTTCACAGGTGTGGGCTCTGGCTGGCAAGATACAGAAGGTTGAAAAGTCAAGTGAACAACCTGGAGAAGAGCGTTCTTACTTAATTTCTACAGAATAGTTCAAATTTCTTCCCTTGAAATATAAGCAATGGATATATCCTCTATCCACATTTCTTAATTGCCTATTGAAAAAATGCAGGCTTAGATGCTTCTTCATTAATGATGGTGGTAAAAATCCCAGTGATGTGGAAAATAGCCCCAAAGAAATAATTGGTGACCTACCGAGATTTCTTCCAACCCAAGTTATTCTATGATGCTGTGATTCTGTGATTCAGCACAGTGTGATACAAGAAAATGCAGGTTGTCATTAGGAGGAGGTAGTGAATGATTAATATTGAAGGCTCTAATTATCATTATAAATATCCAGAAGATACTTACTTGCATGTTCGTGAGTTAGGGGAATTTGGAGAGGATTCATCTAAAAGTTTAGATCAATTAATTTTTATCTCCCTTCCATTTAGCTACATAAAAATTAGGGCATTAACCTAACTGTAGTCAGCTTGTTTTCTGTATTCTGAAGAGGGGAGGAGGTTCTCCACATGTTCAGTCCATATATCTTCAGCATTTATCTTTGGTTCCAGTGTCCTCTGTGCCTTGTGTTTTTCCACTAATTGTAGAAGGTACCTATGTAGTTAGCTCTGACTAAACACTGAAATTTCAGACAACTGGTTACACAGCATGAATTCCAGGCCAAATGGTTTAGATGCCCGTGGACTGTCAAATTGACCCTTGACTCATGTTTCCTGATTTGGAAAGTCACTTATCTTACAGTTTTTATAAAATTGAACTACTCTATTCACATTGAGTATATTATTACTGAAGAACTTGAGGCAAATAAAAGCTCTTGTCCTCTGATAGCTGGAGACTATGGATAGAAATTTTAATGTTGTATCTATCTTGTTACCTTTCTGGAATTGTTGCTATTTGCTGAATTCAGTTTTCAAAGATCAAACAGTATACAAAGAGATAACCTACTTTATATTTCTGTTGTAGGTGTGGATTACAATGTGAAAACCGTCACAGTAGATAACACCCAGGTAGCACTGCAACTCTGGGACACTGCTGGCCAGGAACGGTGAGAAACATTCTGTTGTGGTTTCACCCTGATAGTCAGCTAAGCTGTGTAGCTGCTCCCTTGCTCCCCCATCCAGTGGAATGGAGGAGAGAATCGGAAGGGTGAAAGTGTGACACATGTTGTTTGAAATAAGGACAGTATGATGGAATTTGAGTCTATCCCAGGCAAAACCAGTACACATTTTAAGATTTTGCTTCCTTGAATCATTTGTTGGAAGATTAGTAAATATGGATCTAATCCTGTTTCTTGGGAGAGGAACAAATATATGAGTATTTCTAATAGAGCCAGTGGATTCACAGTTTATATCTTTCCCCTTACAGCAATAATGTGCTGATTTACTGCTAAGCATGCATTGAAAAACTACCAGTCTGTAGAAGATTTATCATTATGTAAGCTCTTAAAGTTTAGCACCACACAATTCCTTTGGGAGGAAGGCTGATTTTAAAATGCACCTAGAATTATTTCTATAGGAGAAAAAGCCACAATATATAACAAAGAAGGTTTTCTATTACCAAAACAATCCTATCGTAGTTGAAGAACTCTAAAGTTTTCATAAGTTTTCAGCAGTCATTTCCTTCACCATCTCCTCACCTCGTGTTGTTTTCTATGACTGAAAGCAAGGATGATAATCTATGTTTTCTACAGGAAGCTTGGGAAAAAAGCTCCAAAAACCCTAGCTCTAGCTGACTTTAGAAGAGCACTTGGTGAGGGGGAAATTTCTGCTCTAAGCTTAAAATGAAAGAGGGTGGGAGAAAAGGTGTAGATTTGCAGCTGATTATCCAGCCTAATCCAGAATCAATTAAAGAAGGCAGGGGAAACTTTCCCAAACACTATCTTTTAAAAAATGGGGGGATTATTTTTTTTTTTATTTGCCATTGCAGTAATTCTTGGGGTCTGATGCTTCAGGGAGAATGGGATTGCTTACTATAATTTATAATAAGCCTCACCTTTCAAACAAGACCTGCAGTAAAGATCAGTATTACAGCTTCTCTCTTGTCTTGTTTATGGAATTTTAGAATGCATATGTAAACAAAATTAACAGGGTTTAACCTTTACTAAGAGTAGATGATTAGAAGAAACAGTATGGCAAATATAATCCTTTGGGGGATGGGGGAAAATGGGGGACATTATTATAAAATTTTCATTGTCAGATTGCTGCTTCTGTTGAAGAGAGCTGTAAACATGTTCTTACTTCCAGGTATCGAAGTATTACCAAGCAGTTTTTCAGAAAAGCTGATGGTGTCATTGTGATGTATGATATAACAGCAAAAGACACATTCTTAGCTGTCAAACAGTGGCTGATAAGCGTTGAGGTAACATGACATAACTTTAAATCTAAACTCTGGTGTCATTATTCTCTACCTTCTTCTGAACAAGGGCTGTTAGCAGGGCAAAGCACAGAAAGCAGCATGTGTTGTGACAATTACATTTTTGTTAGTGAGTTGCATCTGTGCAGTCACAAGTAAAGCTGCTTTTAATCTCTGTCTGTGAGCAAATCATAGTTCCAGGGTTTTAAGGACTTCAAATAAGAAGTGGGGAAATCCCAGCATAGAGTCCTTTGATTTCTCGTAATGGTAATCCAGCTGGTTACTCCTGTTGGATCACCACTAGCACTGAGAAGTGCTTTGAATTAGTGATGGTGATCTGATAGTCACCGATCATCACTAGCAGTTTGGCAGCCAAATATGTAGCTTATGGGAAGTTGACTATGTTGTGGACATAAGCCACAAACTTAACCTGTGGTTTATAAATTTAAACTATGGTATCTACGTGAGTGCTGTAAAATTTTCTCTGACAGACAGTTCAGTTTTCTGGGGATCATCATTTCAACCACATGAATATAAAATCATAGCCCATGGGATTGAGTGACTTCAGTTGATTAAAAATTAAAACAAACTAAGAGTGTAAGCAGCTGAATTTGCTTGTGGCCAGAACAAAAAGTAAAAATAAAGCTGAGGCTGCTGCCATAAAGGGTTGAGTCACTAGTGAGAACAAAGTGTGACTTCCTGTTTGCTCAATGAAAAAGTAAGGGACAAATTGGTATGCAAAGATCATTTTGTCTGATTTCATTTGGCATGTGCCCTAGTATAATACACTGTTTTCCATAATGGCCAAGAGGTGGCTTTGTGAGTTCAAATTAGGACTCAGTCATTCAAATGTTTCCGAACAGGCACAGTTACTGCACACATTGAGTAACCTCACTGAAGTAATAGCAGCATGCATTTGTAAGAACAGACCCTTATAAAATATATGACCTTAACAAATCAGTGACTCTTTTGATTCAGTATGGCAAAAGCTGGAGGATTTTGATCCAGAAAAATTGGATATTGTGATCAAAACCTTTTTCCAAGCTGTAATGGTTCACTCATCTTTACTGACTAATTTTGTTTGCTGCAAACTGTTGCTAAGTTGAAGACATACGGCCAAGTCCATTTACTGCTGTAGCATTCAACCCACTTTGTGAAAGCACTCACTGTGATAATTATAACCATTTTCAGAATGAATTTTGATTTCTGTCGATTCTGTGCATTTTTGGGGGCCTATTCTGTGCATTTCTCCACTATTTCATGTAAGTCATTTGATTTAATTGTACCCAGGTGTTGTCATTATTTTGCTGGCCATGTAATTAGAAAAGCAGTGGCTATAAACATGCAATGTCTGAGCCTGGGTAGCAAGGCACTTTTCTCTCTCCCATTTTAATATAGAGTCTAATGAGCTTCTGTGCTGCTATTAAAAAAATGCCAAGTTAGTGTAATCTTAACATTCTGTCATTTTCATGCCTTTTATCTAACTTGAATTCCTGAGATGTTTGTAAGTAAAGTGGCACATACCTGGCTGGTGTGTGAAGTCTTATATATCTTTTTATAGTGTGACATTTGTTAGTTTTTATCCTCTTGATCTGTGATTTTTTTAAAATACAATGCCTCAGCTGATATTTGTTCTTTATTCTGTAGGAGGCAGCTGGGGAGAGTATGCCTCTCCTTTTGTTGGGCAATAAAACTGATAATGAAAAGGAACGCGAGATTCCTAAGGGAATGGGAGAGCATCTTGCTAAGGTACTGTACATAAGGGAACCCCTTACAAAGCTTGAAGGGGAAGGTTTTAAAATGGAGTCTCAATGTGTCTAAATTCATAGAAACATAGATTAATTTTAATCAGACAAGTATTTTTAAGGATTAGGAACTCCATCACACTCATCAATTCAGGTCTCAGTGGTGTAAGTGCTGATAATTATAGTAGCTATAACACTGTCTAGATAAAAAAAAAAATCAACCCAAAACCAAACCAAATCAAAAAACAAACACACTGGAAAGTGAGTGGAGAAAAAAAATAATTAAGAATTCACTCTCACTATCTCTTCCCTGTCTCTTTTTGTTCTCTCTTTCTATTTTTTTGCTCCCTTCTCTTTTCTCTCTGTATTTTTCTCTCTTTTCTCTGTGGATGGATTCTTAACAGAGAGATAATTTGGGGACCTTTTCTCCCTCCTACCTCCTGTAAAACCACAGAAGACCATCTGTTACTCCTGTGGTAGGAGTAGAAAACATGTTTACTTTTAGTAACTTTCCATCAAGGAGATAAAATAAGTAGAGTTAACAGTCTGCATCTACCAGAGCACTGGGTATCCATGGGCATAATTTAAGCATTATAGGGACTGAGAATACCAGATACTTGTTTATATTCCTGTGTACCATGCCTATCAATTTTGCTTTTGAATCTCTCTATACAGTGCATATAGTTTGAACACCAAGGTCTCTGGAATACTCATATATTCAGAAATAAGTCATGCCAATATTCCTGAAAAATTAACTGAACTGGTAGGAATATGCTTAAATTAAACAACATGCTGGATTTCGCATATCTGCCTGTTTCTCCTTTGAAAATTAGACTTATACCTCTACTTGCTAGTAACCAAAAAAGGTATTTTCAAAATATGAAATGCAGCTGAATTGTTCTTCCAGGAAATATTGCTGCTAGGCACCTCTCTATAACTGAAAGAATTAGGGCCAGATCTCTTTTTGCCTTATTTTGTTTATTCATACAGCCTTTCGAAATCATACCTCTGTATTCAACTTTGGGCCCATTGTTGGTTTTTTTTAATAGGAAGAGCAAAATCAGTCTTGAACTTCATCCCTCAAAGGTTCTCCCTTTATGAAATCAGCTTTATTTTCTTGTATGCATGGAAATAACTTTGAGACCCTGGACGCTAGGAGGGACTCTAGGGTGTAACATTGAATTCTTCTGTGAAAAAACAAGTGACACATGAATGCTAAATGGACAGGGAGTAGGTGTCTTACGTGTCATCTCACTCTCTAAAAAAACTGTGCTAGTAAAACAAAGATGAATCATTCTAGTATATAGAACTCACAGCCCACCAGGCTATTAATTCTAACATGTCATGCAAGAAAATAAAATATTTTGCATAAGTAAAACAAAGTTGTCAAATAAGATGGTTATAATCAAATGAATGGATCTGAATGACTCATTTGAATGTTTGAATGTGCTGCCTGAGGTAGTTAAGAGAAAGAATGATTAATGACAATGGATTAGTTGAAAAGCAGCATAGAGATAATTAAATTATAATAATTTGCTTGCTGAGCTAATTATAACTGTGAATTTTAATGAAATATTAATTCTTGCTAAGTAGTCATGTAATTCCTATGAAACCACATACCACTGTCTCTATTAGCGAATGCAATTGAGTTACTTATTTTGTGAATAATTCCATGAATTATTAAAAAATGATCAAAAATTCACAGGACTAGATGCTGAGCTGATACAAATATGTACAGCCATATTTGGTAAAAATAACCCTGAACCTGTTCTCGTGCAAAGAATCAGATTAGCCTGTTGACCCTAAAGTCTAACAGTTTTTAAGGACTGCTTCTATGAATCACAGGATGGGATTGTTTTCTACCTAGTTTTTTCTGTAGTCAGAAAGGAATGTGTACTCTCAGAGGTCATTCCATCCCAGCTGTATTAACCCTTGCTTTGCTTCTGTCACACAACTTACAAGTCAGTGTACTGCAAAGTTGGTCAGAAACACCAGGGCCTCCATTGTAATGCACATACCACATAACTTCTTTGCAAGGCAGGCAGCACAGATCATTATTAAAAGGAAGAATGGCAGCCTGAAGAGAGCCCTTGTTATTGAGAAAACTGGTAGTTGCTGTATGTGTGTTATACATTGTGAAAGGGGGACTAGAATGAGCAGAGGGATCATGGAAGTCCATTTGACTTTTTCAACAGAGGATCCAAAAGGAAAACTCCATTTAACAAATTTCTGCTTGATCCACTGATCAAGAGTTCATATGAGCACAACAACACAGAGAGTGTTCAGACCATATTGTGAGCATCCAGGAATAGCGAATGTTCTGTTTGAGTAGATTAGTGGAACCACTGCCAATGATTTAAATAAAATGCCTTCTAATAAAGATGCTGCTCAGGCATGTTCATACTCAGCATGATTTTATTTTGACCCTGTACATACTTCCTGAGTGATCTTAAATGGGTCAATAAGTCATTCTCAATAGCTGTTCCTCAACAAAAAGAGAAGGTAATCATGCCTTTGTCTGCCTTCACTTTGCAGACTATGTGTGCTTCATGGGATGAGAACTGTTTCTGTGTGTTCACACAGTGTCTCCTTTGTCAACCTGTCAGTGCCATTGTTATACAAATAATACTGCTAATGAGGGAGCTATTATTTCAGAGCTATACTACTTTACAGGACAGAAATTGCCCAGCTCCTTTTGCTAACCATTCACTTTCCTCCCTGTTCTTTAGAACTCTGCTGATTTGTAGGTAAGTGTTTAAAATGAAATAATTTCCAGTGGTCTCTGAGGTTCAATAGCTAATTCCTGGATGGAGATGGATGGCATTTCCTGGCTTATTAATTATATGTGTCCTGCCTTCTGCTATTTTGTGCTCCTTGTGTGTGCTATCAATTGAAGTTTCCTCTTTGAATCAAAGGAATGACCCTGTGTGTTTCCAGGCTGTCTCCCCTTTCAGAGGAGAACCTTTTTGCCAGACTGACAGAATTAGCCAATTATTATTGAGTTTAAATTGTTGTCTTTCACTCATGCAATTTGTTGTAAAATCTATTCAGATTCATGATGTCATCACTGTCAGTTCTCCTTTAGTGACATTCTGTTGTATGTGGGGAAGATGTCAGAGTAGTATTACTCTCTGCTTGAATGACATGAAGTAGATGGAAACTGACCACAGTAGGTTTTCTATTGGAGTTCTGATCAGCTGAGCAGCAGAAAAGAGAGTGTAAATTTTATTTCAAACTTCTGTTTGCATAGCTAGCAAGAAATTTGAGCCAATCGAATTTTATCTTAAAACTTTTCTAACAAAAACAAGTGAATCATAGTTACATCACTGTAAATATTATACAGAACAATGAGTAAAAAAAATAAAATAAAATAACTTTCAAACATTAACATTGCCTGATTTCTTCCTTCTCTGCTCTTCTGTGCTTACCTGGCCATCCAGAAATTCCTGCAAGTGGTTCAATCCTGGTTTTTATTAAAACGAACCATATAACCATTGACTACATATTTAAAACTGACATTTGATAGCACTATTTTAGAGCTGCTAAAATAAACTACTGTGTTTATGGAATTTCTTATCCCCACTTTTTGTCTCTGAAATTTCACGAAGACCATAAAAATTTATAAAAGATGTGCACTTTTGGAAGCTTGGTGTATATATATTAAAAAAAACCCCAGACCAAAACTGAAATACCTGGTCATTTTAATGGGAACTTCTGAAAATCAAATTCTTATTTGTATCTTATGAAGAATGGTTAAATAAGTACAAATGCAGTAACCACACTCAATAACAAACAAATGAAAACATGCAGATGTGATTGTAATTATCCGGTAAAATTATTTGAATTGTAATCTGCTGCCATAAATGGTTATAAGACACACAGAAAAGTGGAAAGTGAATAGAAGCTTGAAATCTGGATTGGTGAAAGGACGTGTAGTAATACCATAGAGGTAATGTAGGTGAGCTTCAATCTGAAAGTAGACAGATGTCTATTTTGGGGGATAATCTGTCATTCCCTCTCAAACTTGCCATCACAACTCCCAGGTCAAGCTTTTGTGCAGATGAGCTCTTGCATTTACATTTATGCTGAAAAGACTTTAGCTGAAGTGCTGAGAATCTCTCCAAGAATTGATCATTTAACCTCTGTTCTTAATTGCAAAGCTTCCAGGGGAACAAAACCAAAGGTGCAGGGTGACTGCAAAAGGAGGTACAGAAAAATTTCACAAGCACAAATACATGAAACAAAAGTCACTGGAATTCTTTTCACCTGCTTTGTCCAACACTCAGTGGTGTACTAGTTGCCCGATCATCACAAGGAAAGTTCACTCGACTTCTGCACCTTACAGGACATGTTTGTGTTGAGTTCTTACAGCAAAAGCCATTGTATAGAACAAACATCTGCTAAGAAAAGCATATAGTTGTGAGGCACAGTTGGACTTCTTTTGTTACTCTTTACTGTTAGCTCTAGAATTAAATCCTAATGTTTCCTAAGATCTGTTTCTCTTTATTTGTGAATTTCAGTATTTCTATGCTGCGTTTTTTTTTAAAGCTGGAATGAGATATTGTGCAAAATTAATTGAAATGATTTTTCTGTTTGATTGTAGGATTACAAATTAATTTTCTATGAATGCAGTGCATATTCTGGGTACAATGTGGAAAAGTCTGTACTTCACTTAGCTAGGTAAGAAGAGAGCACAATCTATGAGTTCTTTATGTGCCTGACTGCCCTGTCACTGATGACAGAGTGAATTCTCTTTCTTAAAATTAGTATTATAGGAACTTAGGGTGAGTAAATATTTGTTCCTTTTAGACTGGCCTGTAGCCTGACCCTGTTGCTCTGACTGAGCAGTTGCTCAGGTTCATAAAGATCCTATGTTGATCTAGTGAAGCTCTGTATAGATGCAGAAACACATGAATTGTTGCTAGGAAAGGTGAGGGCCTGCGATATTGTGAGAGTTCTTGCAAGAATTTCTTGGAGTGTTGGAGAAATATACCTGGAAATGGATGCTGCTGAATCCTTGTAGCAGGACAGCAGGACATTGGATGTGCTTCTTTCTTCCCTCTGCTCATTACAGCTCGAATCTGCTGTCTGCCTGGGGGCTGGAAGACAGGGATAAGTGGATTTTTGAAGCTGTATAAAGGCTAGGGGTAAAACCACAGGAAAACATGTGCCCTCTGAACTACTTACAGAGGTGAAGGCACTGGCAATGAAAAGGTAGATCTTTAATATAGTTGCTGAAATCAGTGAAATTTTGTGAAAATGTCAGGTAATTGGTAATGTCTAGGTAGCCAGATGTGGTTTTATTTTGTTCCAGCCTCAAAAATAACAAATGCATGTCACTGTTTTGAGTCTCTGTAATACCCAAGAAATGTTAACTATCAGAACTAATTAATTTTTCTAACTAAACTAGAAAGCCAGTTTTATGATGGAGCCGCCATAATTCTATTTTTTAGTTTGTTTGTTAGTTCACAAAATTATATCATTTTCTGTTAATGTCTGGACAATTTTATAGGCTTGGGAAAATGTTTTTTGGTTTGCTTTTTTATGGATATTATTGACTTTTTCTAAAAAGTATTGTTTCTTTTCCCCAGGATTTTAAAGGAACATGAAGATAAAGTGAAAGAGAAAACTATTCAACTTCAAGCGGATATGAATAAAAAGTCTTGCTGTAGCAGGCAATAAAATGCTGGGGCATGTTTAGACAAGTCATACATTTATACGACACTACATAGCACTATCAGATTTGCTTTTATCTTCCAAATATTTCTTCTGCTGTGTTCTGAGTGTAGGTGTAAGTAAAACTTAAAACCTTTGTATGCTCTGATCTCCGCTTTTATAAATATCGTCTGCAGTTAATTGACAGTGTATTTGGGGCAGTAACAGTCTTTTATTCTGTTTGATGCCTAATACCATTGAATCTTGATTTGTCATCAGGCTTGTAGAAACTGCCACATTATTAATAATAAGAAATAATTTTACAGGAAGAAAACTGCTTGGAATGTGAAGTAAATTCTTACTGGAGTGAATGACCCATCTTCTGAATACTGCTTATTTCAGTGCTCTTTAGATCTTTAGATTCTGATTTTATACTAACCTTTGTTACAGTTTCTTTAAAATTGCAATAGGTGTACTTGTTTGTAGCAAAATGCATGTTGTGGCTGACTGAACAGGTCTTTGTCTTCAAAGTCTGTCTCAGAAGGTTTCATGCCAGATTTTAGGGGTAGATGTTTCCAAAACAGAAGATCATATTTTGAGGAAGATTTTGGGAAACTTACCAGCATTTAAGGAGTGAAAAATCTCACCCAAAATCCAGTTAGATGTTGCTCTCTTTAGCAATGTTAAGAAAAAATTCTTCTTCATGTAGCAGAACACGTGACTGGTTTTGCAAAAGCATCTGCCACACAGCATTCCCCCAGGGCCTGATATCACTGAGACACAGTGGCTGAGGAATCAAACCCACAGGGACATGTTTTAGAGAATCATGGCCCACCCTGGATCATAAGAAACACAAATGTCATAATTACTTTCGGATGCCTTTGTAGAATATATATGAAAATAAGAGGCTTGAGAGTAGGTCACCCAGCCAGGATACAATCAACAGTTATTATTGTTGGTATATATTTTCACTGCATCCAGCTATTGTGGTAGACATTAGGAACAATTATTCATGATGGTGAGCTTGTTTGGAAAGTGGAACCCATGGCATAATTTATCTCATTAAAATATAAAGCAACACTGTCCATTTCATTATATGAGACTGTTACAGACATGTTTTCAATCCATTTTCTAAATGTTTAAAATAGTTATTTTTCACTTGAATAATGAATCATTTTCAAACTAAAGATGAATGTTAAGCACTAGCTCAATAAGTGACTCTATTTTTGGATAAAAACTTTGTCAGTAATTAATTGTGCTCTTGGGATTTCATTCTGGTCAAATGTATTTATCTAGTTCCAAGAACTATACAAGAGAGGTTTGCAAACTTTCTTCTATAATTTCTATATCCCTACCAGCACTCAAATGCCTTTTCCTGTGAGTTGGGATCCAAACATAACCAATTCCCTATGAGGTAGAATAACCAGGATTTTCCTTCTATCAGGAATGATGGATGAACCAAGTAGCACAGAATAAGCTGATGCTTGGGGTTTTTTCCCTTGTTTATTCCTGAGAATCTGCTCATCCAAATGAAAAAAACTCCCCTTGCTTTCAGTGAAATGCCTAAGAACCTCTAAAACACAGAGGGAGTAAAATGAGCATCCATTACTGAAAATCAATAGGCTTCTGTTCACTTTCCAGAGTTGCTTCTTGAGGTCCATTACTGGTTGTGGAGGCATGAGTTACCTTATTGACTGTTGCATGTTCTCCATCATATAAATCTTCTCAGAATTGAATCATCTGTGTTCAGTCCTGGCTCAAGCTGAACTAATGCAAACCCTTAATTTAAACATCAACAAAACCAACTCTTTATCCCAATTTCAATTAGGGAAGAAGTGCCATCAGTTTAAATATCAGCTTTGCTAATTGACTTTGAATGCTCTTTTCCCCTGCAGTAGGGTGTTTCCCACCCCATCAATATCAGAACTGGCAGTATTTCTTCCAGTCCCTATCAGCCTCAGGAAGACAGTTTGAGGACTCAATTTCAACTTTGCTGCCCATGACTGTAGCCCCACAATTTAGATCCTAATTTTTTTATTCCCTGAAGTTCATCTTGATTTTGAAGGACAGTGACATGTGAAATGGATTTTCTTTGTATGCACTGAGACCCTGCTAGCAGATCATACACAGCTTGAGATCAGGCAATGCTAAGGAGCAGCTGAATCCTGGGATAATAGGGATTTCTTCATCTACTAGAGACAGATCTGGTGCAGTCTAAGACCCAGGCAGTATCTTCCATCTCAGACAGATGTTTGTGGCTTCTGCTGTTCCTTTTTGCTAGTCCAGCCAAAGCCCAAGCTGAGTACATATTGCAAAGGTGCAGATGCATACATGACACTAATGTCATCAGCACTAGTATCAGCCACACAGACAACACAGCATTTCCATAAATATGAACACTGATAGCCCAATCCTTGTCTTCCTTTCCAACAGATCAATATTGAAGTTTGCTGATGAAAACATAGATGTACCAAACTCCTATGATTTGCAGTGCTCTCTTTCCCAGTCTTCCCTCCCCCTCTCCCCAGGATCATGCAGAAATTTGGTAGAAATAAGATTTAATAAAAAGACTGGATAGCCTGCAGCTATGGGGTACAAGGCTCAGTCAGATGTACTCTAACCAGCAGCTTGCTTGCATAGAACAGTTCCTTTTTATTCTATCTTCTCTTGATTTTTTTACCATGCTTATTCTTCCTCCATGCAATACACCTTGACCACTCCCTTTGTCTTCCTTTCATAGCCCAAAGAAGCAACTTGTCATAGAATCATAGAATTTAAGGGTTGGAATGTACCTTGCAGATCATGTAGTCCCAACCCTCCCTGCCATGGGCAGGGACACCTCCTCACTAGATCAGGTTGCACAAGGCCTCATCCAGCCTGGCCTTGAACCCCCCCAGTGTCGGGGCAGCTACCACATCCCTGGGCAGCCTGTTCCAATGTCTCACCACCCTCACAGTAAAAAACCTTTTTCTAATATCTAACCTAAACCTCCTTTCCTTCAGTTTGAACCTATTACCCCTTGTCCTGTCATTGCAGTTCCTAACACAGACTTCCCTCTTTGGCTCCATTGTAGGCCCCTTCAGATATTGAAAAATTGCTATGAGGTCTCCATGCAGTCTTCTTTTCTCCAGGCTGAACAGCCCCAACTTCCTCAGCCTGTCCTCATCAGGGAGGTGCTTCAGTCCTCTTACAAACTTCATGGCCCTCCTCTGGACTTGCTCCAACAGTTCCATGTCCTTCTTATGTTGAGGACATCAGAACTGCATGCAGTATTCCAGGTGGGAATGTCCCTAGTTGCCTTTTCCCATGAGTCCCAGTTTTTGTACATCTGTGCCCACATACATATTTCCTCTACCGTTCCTACGGCACCTTGGCTTTATATGCTGTGATTGGCATAGTTACTCAGGCGCTGTTTGCCTTCACATTTCCACTTCCAAAAGAGTCCCTACTATTCCCTTCCAATTATCTGTGAAGTTAGTTGTGAAGTTACTGTGTAAGTCCCTCTTACCCACCTATGAAGTCCAGCCATTGTTCACAGTGCTGTCTGTAATTATTGTCAGGTTCTCACTCTGTTATTTGCAATGTTTAGAGTTGCTTGTGGCATGTCCAGAGTTTCTCAAGGTCTGTTTGGTTAGCTAAACCTCAGGCCAGAGCCTAGCCACCCGTCAGCACACCTGAACAAACAGCAGTTATTGGCTGATTAATGCTCACAGAGGACACATATAACTGACATACTACAGTGCTCTTATTTCTGGACAGATTCTACTGTCCGGGTAGTCATTGAACTGTTACGGGAATTGTCAGGTTCCCTTGTTCCTTGCTGCTTACTGATCCTCTGCGTTGCTGGGTTGCTGTGTTCTGACCCTCCAGCAGGGTTTCATTCCTCCTGTCATTATTTTTCTTAGGTCTTCAGAAAGCCAATACTGATTTAACAGCAGTGCATCTTCCTTTTCCTTTTCATTTGCCTTTGCCTCTCCCTCTCCCCTTTCCTTTTTCAATTAGCTTTAGCTTGGTCACCATCTCCTCAACTGCCTGCAAAAGCTTTTTGGGTGAAGGTAAGTCAAGATCATGATGCAGCTGTGCTTGATGAAACTGGCTTCTGGGTCATGAAGTCTTTGGACCTAATTCATAGCTATTGTAAGATCGGTAACAGTAGTGTTTACTTTTAGAGATGTATATTGCTCTTGAAAATTTCCCTTACTAGAGTGAAAAGTACCAACAATAGTGAATGAGAAATTCTGCTGAAAAATTGCTCCTGACACTCAGCAGACTTCATCCTTCTCTCAAATTCACTGATGCAACTCCTTGACCCAGTAATATTTCTTCTGATGCTCACCTCTGTATATCAGTATATCAGCTCATAAGCAGTGTGCACCTACATAAACTCTTTGAGAGGATGATGAGTTGGTAGGAGAAAGGGAGAAACTAGTCTCAGCCTAGTCAGGTGCCCAGTATGCACACTATAAAGTCCATTTGCATGCATATAACACAGTGCTCCTAGTATTTTGGAATGGGGAGATCATGAATTTCTGTGTGCTGGTCAAAACTGATTCCAGCCTGCACAGATGTGAGCCATGCAACAGTGGAAAATTTATTGTACACTGTAACCTTACTGTGAGAAGTGCACTGCACCTTCTCGCATAACCTATTTAAGGAGTAATCTGCAGCTTTTAAGGTGAGGATGCTCCACACACAAGGAATGTGTGACAAACAGACCACACTGAAGAAAGTTTGCTTCTGAAAGAACTGCAGTCAGCGGTCATTCCCCATGCTGGAGCAGGGACAAGTGAGGAACAGGACACCAGGAATCCTGATGCCCAGAACACTAGAAGCACTGGGCACTGAATGGCAGAAACCATAATCCTTGAGACGGCAGAAAGCATTATGCACACCACCTCAGCTTCCTGTGCTGCCTGTTTGTCTGGTTGTTAGCATTCTTCTTCTTTCCCCAGAACCTGAATCATCAATAAGAAATTTGTGTTGGTTGGTAGTAAATTAACTCAAGTAAAATTTTCCAACTTGAGACC